GGTCCTTTAATGAGATATGAGTGAAATTCAATGATTTGATAAGCTTCCAAAGAAGATTATGATAGATATGACTGTGCTCTTTCTTGAATGATAGTTATATAATAAATCCCAAGAATAGTAACCTATACCTAATTGACAAATAAGATGGAAAATTCATGTATCATGTTGTATGTGTATGCCACAAATTATATCAATGTGTAGGTAATATTTAATATAAATTTTTAAAATGAAATGTATAACTTAGGAAAGTGTAATTAAAGAAAGGCATTTTAAATTTAAATCATTTTTTCAGACAGTAGTTATTACAATCCGGGCAATTTAAATTATATATGGAAGATTTTCATGTGTCAGTGTCCTTCACATAATGCCTCTTCCTTCTTCCTTTCTCCAATATTTTTTTCTTTATACAAGAGTTTGAGGTCCCAATTTCAACATGAACAGGTAAATCCCATGTTTAAGCCCCAGTGCCCAGATCAAATCTGGTATATAGCATGCATTAAATATTAATTATTGTTAAAACATGTGGAGAAGTGATGGTAGGAAAAAGTCTTGTGTAAATCAAATGCCAAGACTTAATCCATTACTTCTCTCTACATCTAGAAGTAAGTTTTCCTAGTGTTGCTGCCCTTACTTCTGCTCTTACTTCTGTCTGGGTATTCCAAGCATGATTAGGCTAGAATGAGAGTTAACCTATGTGTATACTTTGCATGATGGCTCTCTCATGTCCAAGATTCTGCCCACCTATCTAGGATTACAATGATTACCTTCTTCCTGTCTTAGATGGATTCTCTAAGCTTGACACCATTGAGACTTCGACATAAAATGAGATCACTCTGGACCCAATGACCATTCATTACAGAGGTATACATCATGAAAGGAATAACCGAAATGACACTGATCTAGTGGTAAGACCTCAACACTGTTTTATCTTCCTCCTATTCTTGGTAGCTCAATCTGACAAGAATTTAACTATAGCATTTAGGTAAGATTAATTTTAGTGATAAAACTTGACTCATAAGCTATGAGTTAAGTTATGTAAGGTCTGTCCAACTCATCATAGATTTTTAAAAATGGGGTAACTTTGTGGTGAACTGCCTCCTCAGTTCTCAAAATAGAAGGCAGTTATTCTGAGAAGGACCATAAACGAAACCTGAATGGAAAGGAATAAGCCGTGTGATTAACTAGGAAAGCATTCTTGGCAGGAGTGTGAGGAGTTAAGAATAGGAGTGTGTATAGTTTGTTTGAAAACAGCAAGGATTAACAGTGTGCCTCACATAGAGAAGAGGGACAATAATAGTAGATGAAGTCAGATGAATAAGAGTGGGGACAGGAAAAGAAAACCATGCAGGCCTTTTAGGTTAGTGTAAGAACTTTGACCTTCCTTTGAGTGAGAAAAGAAGATATGGGGGATTTTAGCTTACATTTTAACAAAATAATGATTACTGATGTACTGGGAATATACTGAAGGGGGCAAAGGGCAAAGATGGGTGACCAGTTCAGAAGCTCTTGCAGTAAACTAGGCAGGAAATAATGGGAGCTTGCATCAGGATGATGATCATTATTATCCAAAGTACATGTATGAAGACATGAATTGGTGTGAATATACTATATATACAACCAGAGATATGAAAAATTGTGCTCTATATATGTAATAAAAATTATAATACATTCCGCTGTTATAAATAAAAAATAAATTTTTTTTTAAAAAAGGATGGTAGCAATGGGATGTGTCAAAAAGTATCAAATTCAGGATACATTTTGAAAGTAAAAACAGAATTGCTAACAGATTGAATGTAGAGCTTAAGTGGGGAAAAAAAAAATCAAGAATTGTTCCCAAGTTGTTTGGCTGTGTCCTTTGGGAGACTGTGATTACCAATTATTGTGATAAGAATGACTACAAAAAGACCCCCCAGTTCAGGAGAGAATGAGAGAATATCAGGATTCCTGTTTTGGATATTATAAATTGGAGGTGTGTGTATTAAAAAACATAGCATAGTTTTTTAATCTGTATTCCTCCCTTCAGCTCCAGGATTAAACCTTATTCTGAATCTTACCCAAGACCAAGCCCTGATCTAGGAGGCTAGATTCTGACTCCCACTCTACAGTTCTTGACTAAAGTCCTACTTTATAAGCACAGACCACCAGGAACCAGGATGCTTCCAACAATCGGATCAGAGTATCGCCAGAACTCTAGAGTTCTACTGCAACCTCCCATTCACCAGACTTGATTCCCTTTGATGCTGATTTTGGCTTGATTTTCCTGGACTCTGAGAATTCTCTGTATTCTCTATGAGTTCCATTGCAGCTGTAAAATGGAGTTAGTTCTCTCAATCCCTCCAAATTCTAGGCCTTTCCCCTCACTAGTAGGTCTTGCTGCTATCCATGTTTCATCTTTCACCTACAATGGAAATTAGGGAAGAGTTTGATCACATGTGCCCAACAAAAACATATCTGTAAACTATCTTTCTGAAGTTTTATATGCCTTAAAAGAATGGAATGAAAGAGGGGAAAAGATGATTAAATAAATTTTCAAGTTATTTTCCTAGTCATATTTATTTCCAGTGGATTATTTGATTTGCCAACCTTTGCATGGTGATTTAGTTTGTAAAAACTGTCCTAAGTTGCAAAAACTGTCCTGCCAAATGATTTCAAAATGATTTGTCCTATCAAGTGAATTCCAAAATGACTTAGGATTCAGACCCATGAAAGATTACAAAATGAGTACCACGACATCTATTAATCCCTGAATGCCTCCAAAACAGTTCTGAGAATTGCCAAACGTCCTTTATTCTCTGGTTGATTTCCAAAACTGTTGCTCCAACGTTTAGAAGGCATTTTAAAAGCAATATATGGATCCCAGGTTTCTGGATGTACACAATAAAGTGGGTTTTTTGTTGTTGTTTGTTTGTTTGTTTGTTTTATGGGAGAGTGAGTCTAGGAAATAGAGGGGAGGCCTAGAGCCTAATGCAAAAATCAATAAAAAATTAGCCAGCCAACATTAGTCCAGCTGCTATTCTGGCTATCAGGAACTCCTTGATTCTGTTCATTAATTTTCGTATTGTGTTTATTCAAGAATTGCACTGTTTAGTTACCAAACAACTCGGGAAATGGCTAAGAGATGTGAGTTACCACTCCACTGCTATTTTCTGCTGGTGTTTTATAAGATCTTTGGTTTTTACACAGGAATACCTTTCAGTTAGTCAGTTCATCAAATTGAAACCTGTTATCTCCCATTCCACCACTGATCAGTTTAAATTGCTTTAAGAAGAAACTTGTGAAATAAGATGTTATGGAACTTCCATACAACAATTGTTTCACATTTATTTTGTAAGAAATATCTAAAACTTTAATGACATTTCCTGCACCTCTAGAGAAAAGCAGAGATAACACTCCCTCTCCTGAAAATGAGTTGCTATTCCAACCACATTTCTCACCAGTTGTTTAAAAAAAAAAAGTGTTTTTTTTTAGTTATGCGAATGTATGGCAATGGTCAACTGTTCCTTAAACAACAAAAGAAATGTGAAAATAAAAGGGCTTTGGAATCCACCAGAGCTTCACACCGCATTACGCCCTCACTTGAGAACCAAGGACTGTAACCAGGGTCCAGTTTATGCCCGAGTAAACCTTGCTGCTTCACTTCATAAGGCTTACTTTAAAACTGACTTGTTTTTCTTACTTCCTTTTCTTCTTGCCCCTCCCCATCCCTAAGAGCAGAGTGGCAGGCGGGAACAAGACTAACATTTTTTCCTGTCCTAGGGTAACCTATCATATTCTTCTCTACCCCAAGTGTCAGGCCGGCAATACTAAAGAAACTCCAAACCCGGGAACTGAAGCAACGGCTCTCTCAAGAACTCCGATGAGCACTAATTAATATATCTACTGACAATATTTGGATCTCACCCCTCTTTTTTAAAGCTCTGTGTTCCCCCTGACAGAATCACAGCCTCTGGGACAGGAATTCCGTGTTTTTCCTTTGCTAGCAAATCAGTTAAACTCTTTTCCTTTTTCTAAAACCATTGTTCTCCTTATTAGATTGCCAATGGAGACAAGGACCTTCGTATCAAGACCACATAGCAAGATAGGTCTTTGACCTCTGAAAACCGTTAAGCACCCTCCAGTAGTAAGGTACTAGTCCGCGGCACAGTAGTTAAAGCAAGGGTGTTTCAGAAACCCACCATTCTTGATCAACAGTTCACCGCCCGCAGGAGCGGGAAAGGCCAGTAGCGCCTACAATTCCCAGCAGGCGCCGCGGCAGCGGCCTTCACGCACGCGCTGCCCAGACCCTGGGAAAAGGACTCCGCCGCGGGGCTTCTGGGAAAGAAAAATGGCTGCGCCCTGGCTTCGTCTTGGAATGGAGCAGTTCTTTAAGATGCCGGCGGCAATGGGGCGCCAAGGCCGAGCTTACAGCACGTCCCAGACTTTTGCTGAGGTACTACGGCTGCCGAAGAAGCAGCTGACCAAGCTAGTGTACCCGCTGCAGGAACTCGAGCAGCACCTTGTTCCGGACTCAAGGCCCGACCTTCACCTGAGGGTCTTCGACCCTAGCCTGGAGGATATCTCGAGAGCGGAGAGTGTTTTCGCTTCCTCCGCCCGGAACCGTATTGAGTACGTCAGTTCCGCGGTGCGGCTAGATCACGCCCCGGACCTCTCCCGACCTGAGGTGAGAGCTGCTGCTGCTCAAGTTTACGGTCCCCAAGATATTAAACCTCAGACCACCAGAGCACCGCCTGCCGCAGGTCTTGAAGGAGGCTTGCGGGGCGGGGGTTTACTACCACTGGTTTCTCCTCACCCAGGAGAGAGGTTTTCTGGCTTTGTGTGGGCGCATGTTTTAGATAACCGTTCATATAGTTTTGCTGGGGATGTGACTCAGTGGTAGAACGCTTGCCTGGTACACTTGAGGCCTCTGAATTGAATCTCCAACACCAAAAATAAAGACGAAAACACACACATATGGTTTTAATTATTATGATGATGGATACTGAAGGCTTTAAGAGGTTTTGAAACATGAACTAAGCGTTCAAAAAGAAAATTCTGTCCTTTTATTTATTTTTTCCTTTTTAATTGAAGCGTAAAAACTTGCTGAGACAAATTAGAAGTTAGGGAAGGAGACATGATATAGATTCATAAATGAGATGATCCTTATCAATATGTAATTTTCACCCTATCTAAATTTCTCATCATCTGCAGGAATAATTATTATCTGTAGATAGTAATAACGAGAGACTTTTAAACATTCATTAGTGAAATTTCGGAGTGTGCATTTTCTCCTTGTTCTACAATTTAATAATGTATTTTGTTTTGAGTTTGCTGAAAGGCGGTTCAGATCGCCTTTGCCATGTAAATGGAACACTGCCCTGAAATTTTTCTTCTAAATTATGTAGAACTGCCATAATTAATGGACTTTTGTATACTATTGTTTTTTTCTTATCATTCATTTTGAAGGACTAACAGTTTTGTAGAATATGTGGCATTTCTGACCCCTGTCTACTGAATGCCTCCCAGTCATACTGATAACCAGAAATGCCCTTGAAGATTTCCAGAGTGTCCTCCAAGGAGCAGTTCTGACCTCATTTAGAACTGATTGGAGGTGTCTACTCCTAAGCAAAGCCACGTGTAGTGATGGTGATTCTCAAGAATATTTTGTTGCTTTCCACATTACAGAGGAGAATATCTTTAAAAAAATTTTTTTGTAGTTGTAGATGAACAGAATGCCTTTTGTTGTTGTTGTTGTTTATTTTTATGTCTAACTCAGTGCTTCACATATGCTAGACAAGCGCTCTGCCACTGAGCTACAGCCTTAAAATCTTAATTGGAAATAAAAAGATCAAGGAAAAAGAAAAAAAAAATCTCTGAAATACCATGGAGTTACAGTATACTGTGGTAGTTTTGTGCTTCCAAGCATATAGTTGTATTTTTGAGCCAGTTCTGTTGAAATAACTTTTTTTGTTGTTGTTACTGGGGAAAGCTTTGTAAATATTTAATGCTTAATAAAACATGCAGGTATTCTTGGGCTGGGGGTATTGCCCAGTTGGTAGAGTGCTTGCCTTGCATACACAAGGCCCTAGATTTGATCCTCAGCAGCACCAAAAAACAACAGCAACAACAACGACAAAACATGCTGATATTCTTGAGTAGTAATTTAAGGCACAGGTTTTGGATCTAAATGCCCCCATTTCAAATCCCAGCTCCTTCACCCTCACTGTTTAATTTTGAGCCAGTTATATTTTCTCATTTCTAAAATGAGGATGATAATATTACCCATTTCATAGGGTTGTTATGAAAAATAAATAAGAAAATAATGTTGAATGCTTTCAGTACTTAAAACTTTAAAATTATTCATACATATTAGCTGTGTGCTAGAATGTGAGGTTTGACCACATAGAAGCCATTTTTTATGTGCCTTGACAAAACTGAACAATTTGGTTCTGTGGGGAATGTGGCATTTAATAAATAAACTATTACTCAGTTCTCTTAGTGCTCAATTCTCTTCTTTTTTCTTGTGTAAGGTATGTTTTATAGGCAGAAGCAATGTTGGAAAATCGTCCCTAATAAAGGCTTTATTTTCATTGGCCCCAGAGGTTGAAGTTAGAGTCTCAAAAAAACCGGTATGTTGATATTTTTAAATACCAGTAGACTGTCTCACAAATTGACTAAGATGAGTAATACATATTGGATGATAAATAATTGGTAAGTGCCTTGAGAAAAGATGTTTTTCAACAGCTTCCTTTTTCCCTATTTTCCAAAGAGTTAACAAAGTCTTTTATTAGAATTGTATTATTTCCTTCTAAATAATGATCATCTAGTTCCATATAGGCTTGGGGGGAAAGAGCTTCAATGTTTCGTTGCTTTTTTTCTTCCAGTAATCTTTTATACCTTGCTAATTTTCTCACTCTCTGACGCATGCACATTCTTACACATTTTCCTTTACCTGTCCCACATATTGTGTTTACCCAAGACCAAACCTTGTGCTTCTTATCCCTTCTGTCATTTTCCAGTTCCTTCTATTCTTTAAGGAGGCAGACTCTACCGATATCTAAGATGACATTTATATTCTCAAATCACCCTCACTTCCCATTACCATATCATTTGTCCTTGGCAAAACCACTGACTCCAATGCTCACTACTCCCTGATCCTTTCATTAAGTTTTTCCATGAGGCTTCACTAATCTTTTGTTCCTCACTTCTTGAAGTAGTTGATTCTCTGGATTTATCACTAAAGATTCCTTTCTTAACCTTCCCATCCTCACTCCTACCCTGCCTTACCATATAAAACAGCTAAACTATAACTTCTAGGTAGAGGTGTATGGATGTAAGAGGACAATGGATGAAATTTATTCTTGACATTGTCAATCTCAGTCTTGTCAAGTCATATAATTCTAAAATCGTCTTCTGATGGACAAATAATCCTATTGGAAGTTTAATCACCATTTATAAAAAAAAAACCTTTGATAATATTTTTTCTAAGATCAAAACAGTTAACTAAATTGTCTTTTCATGATTAATAAATGTCCCATGGACACAAAAACATAAACCACATATTACCTTTACATCAATTTTAGTTTTAAAATTATAGTACATGATTTAATGAGAGCAATAAAACTCACATAATAAAACATGAAAAACAACTATAGGAGAGCAATAATTTAGGGGTAAGAAACTTATCAGGTTTTGGATCTAGATGTTACAAAAACCTGTTATGACTATGGCAGTCACACAATTTAGAACAGACTGACGTTTTCCAGGAGAGTGAAATAGGCAAGAATCAACAACATTTTGACTGTATTTTTCCATATTTCTTATATGGAATCTAAAGCTCTTAATACGGATTCTATTTTAAGACAATGAATTGGAAGGAAAAAGTAGTATAAGCCAACCTTATATCCAGCCACTTCTCTTCTGTTTTTTTTTTTCCTCTGTCATTGTCAGAATCCCTGGGGATCGTATACGGGGCTTTTAATAAATGTTTGACACAGTTGAATAGAAAACATTCCAACACATGAAATACATAAAAGACATATTTTAAGTCAGCTTTTTTTTTTTTTTCATTTATCAGGGTCATACAAAGAAAATGAATTTTTTCAAAGTTGGAAAGTATTTTACAGTGGTGGACATGCCAGGTTATGGCTATAGAGCACCAGAAGATTTTGTTGACATGGTAGAGGCCTATCTAAAAGAACGAAGGAAGTAAGGAAATTTATTTTCTTATAGTAGTTAACACATTTAATCCCCAAATACATTTTTATCAGTGGAATATTCTGCACATGATGAACATTTCACTTTTATGAAGTGACTTAATTTAGAAGTTCCATTTTATTCTCATAATATTCTATGATATAATATTTAGGAAAAAGGTATGTTTGTTTGGCTTCTGCCTGTAGGTGTCTGTAATCTTAACTTCAAGTGTTTTCCTAAATTGAGTATTTCAGCACTTTGTTCTTTTTTTTAAAAACCAAACTCTTAATTTCTAAAAATGAAAATACTTGGTTAATGTGTTATTTACCAAATTTAAATAAACTATAGTAAATTCAGATTATTTTTTAAATACCTCAGCTTTATCCTCTGAAAATGTTATCTTTACTTTCATGTCTCTTTTGGTAGTGAAATGACATTTGTTTTGGGAATTGCACAATATAGAGAAAACTATTAAATTTCTGAAATGTAAAAATTTGTCTAAGACTGGGGGTGTAGCTCAGTGGTAAAGTGCTTGCTGAACATGCTAGAGGCTCTGGTTTTGATCTCTAGGCCCACCAATTTAAAAAATAAAGTTTGGTACCAATCTTGGTTTTATAGCTTTACATAGAAAGTAAGGTGAAATATTTACAAAAGAAAATGCAATATATCATGTATCTGGTTTCGGTTTATCTGTTTGTCTTAATATTTAAAAAGTTAAACATTTCTATAATGTTTAGTAAAATTGGATTTGTGTCTCCCCCCCCCCCAAAAAAAAAAAACTTTAAGGTCTTAGAAGAAGGGACTTACTCATCAGAACAAAAATCCCAGTCAGACTTATGTTCAATACATGCTTATTGAAATAAATTAATATTTGGCAAATTCAGTTATTGAAAGTAAGCAGCCTTGAGACCTATTAAACTATAGGATAAACTTCCTGATTAATTTTTGTCGGAGACCAACTCCAACAGGGGGTCTCAGGAGACGAATGGATGGTGAAAAGAGAGGTGGAGAAACAACACAGACACCAAAGTGAAGGTGTTGATCCCAATCTTTACTTGTGAAGTTGATCATATATACTTTTCATTTTGGCAGGCTCACAGTACTTTGTAGTTACAAAACAGGAATCCTTAGTCAAAGAAACAAAATACTACGTAGCTACAATTAGAATAGAAGAATGTATCTTGGCTTATGCATAAGCAAGCATTTGTACTTTCAGTTCAAGTTTTGCTTTGAGCTGTTTCTGCTTAGTTAACTTTTAATAATAGTTAGAAATGTCCCAAATTATTGGCCTATACCTTGACTATTCTTTCTTGACTTACTGACTGGAACCGGTGCCATGGTTACGGCAAGTGGTTGACGTTATTAATTTTAATCAAACAAGAGTAAGAGTACAAACCATTGTGCACAGGAACAAGAACAAGTTGCCCAGTACTAAGCACTAATCTGTCTTCTTAACATTAATTTTTCTTCTCTAGATTTTAATTTAATTTCTCAAAAACTTCCTTGACAGGAATACAGGGAGTTTTTCATTAGACATTAACAATTTACACTCTACAGCTGAATCATTGCATTTAGAGCAAACAGATCTATTCTTTAGAAGTAGTTGCATTCATTGGGAAAGTCGTGTTTTTTCTTCATACTTAATGGTCATATGAGAAGTCGAAACTGTACTTATTAAAGGAATACAAAAACAAACTAGCCCATTCCCAGAAACATACTGCGCTCCTCCAGAGGATGGACGCCTTGCGCCATCCACCTCAGTAGGGCCTTGCCATTGCCTGAGTCGGGAGGGGCGGAGCAAATTTTAGAATTCCTTTTGCCTAAACAAATTTTTAAATTTTGGATCAAAAATACTCAAAGGGAAATTTCTTAATATAGTAAGGATGAATAGGAAGAGAAATGAATGAATATATCTTATACTGCCATTAATCTTTTCTTCTTTCTTATAGTTTGAAGAGAACATTTTTATTAGTGGATAGTGCTGTTGGAATTACAAAAACAGACAATATTGCCATAGAAATGTGTGAAGAATTTGCATTACCTTATGTGGTAAGTCTTTCTTTGGACTCATGTTTGCAGTTAGAAACATCAGTTCTGTTTGGCTATATATGTGTGCAAACATTTAAATGAATGAATAGGTCTTTCCCTCTCAAAATACAAAGGAAAGTGCCTTTATGTTGGCACTTTATGTAGAGTGGCACTTTTGTTCATTTTTCTTTCTCTCAGTTTTAAGTTTTTTAAATTATAATTAAAGTAAAAGTGTTTTAAGCTGTTCATTTAGTGTTTCTAAGTGCTTTGCTTTTCCTTTTTTTTTTTTAATATGGAAATAAAACATGTTAATAGCTCTTTAATAGCAGCTTGGCAGATAATACTTACCAAATGTAATAGAAGTACAAACTGAAAAATTTGTGAACTTATTTTGGAATTTAAAAATCATTCCAAGAATATAGCAGACTCCAGCACACACAGTATGATTTTTGTGCCCTTAAAGAAACAGAATTTCTTCTGGGAATATCTTACTAACACTGTTTCTGTCATCTCACCTAGAATAAAATACAGATTAGCAGGCTAGAATCCATATTGATTTTATTTCCTTATATTTCCAGATAAAATAGCATTCTTAAAGTTCCTTTATAAAGAAAAGTGAAGAACTTAATGACCTTAGTTTATTTTCCACCAAGTGTTAGAAAACCACTAAAATATAACAGTGGAGTTTAAATCAAATCATATTAAAGCCACTTTTTTTTTTTTATCTTCTTTAGGTTGTGAAAATCTTGGGGTTTGCGAAAATTCTGTGAATCAGAATAACTCATAAGGCATCAAAGGATGATAGTCTTACATAGTAAAAATGCCTAAATATTGTCAAACTGATTTTATTAAGTAATAACTTTCATAATTTTGTATCATAGGTACCAGTTTGTAAAATCATATACTAAGCTTTAACTGAGGAAATGTGAATATATATATATATACACACACACACACACATAAATTCATATATATTTTTACATGTCCATGCATGTATGTATTTCAGCACATTTGCCTTTATGAGGAAAGACTCCTATTTGAGTTGATTCATAGGTCATTAGAAATCATACACTTTTCTGCTTCTCACTCCTTTTGCCATTAGCATTTTTATTTGTAAAAGGCATAAATGATTCATCACGAAATTTAATTTTATAGAAATTCTTCCAAGAAAACCTGATGGATCAGTGTTTTACATCTTAATTGATTTTTAAGCATCCATGCTTTAATGTTTCTCCAGTATATAGCTGTATTTGGACAAGTAAAATTCTAACATTTACCTGGGTTGTAACTATAATAGATAAAATCTACAAATAGCCCAATTTCAAATTTTTCTTTTAGAATATTACTTATTAGGCTGGACCATTTTATAACTCAAAATGATCTTAAGTTTGCAGTTTTAATAAATCAACCTAATAATATTCATTTATATATCTTTTATCACAAGACATATTGTGATCATATGAAACAGCTGATGGCAATTACAAATATGGCTCCAGGATCCTTCTTATTAATCTTAAGTCCATGGTATGGTGGCTCTGTGTAATTAAAACACTGTTAAGGGTTGGGGTTGTAGCTCAGTGGTTGAGAACTTGCCTCACATGCATGAGACACTGGATTCCATCCTCAGCACCACATAAAAAAATAAATAAATAAAACAAAGATCTACCGCGCAACCAGCACACTGGTTTCATACAAGAGGTTCGTAGCATAGAAGTTAACTAGTGAAATCAAAATAAACACACAAGACTCAATTACCTTTTTCTTTGACCAGGTCCGAGATGGCCCTCCCTCTAGCTCTCTCCTTGAACCACCCGGTGGGGCAGCAAGGCTTTCTCAGGACTAGCAGGAGAGAGAGAGAGAGAATGCCAGGGAGTGACCTTTTATTGGGGAACAAGAAATTCAGGGGAAAATTCCATCTAATGAAGGTCGAGGGGGGCAGCATTCCAAGGTCAGGGTCAGTGATTGGTCTCAGGGTCAATGGTCAGTCACGCCCCCACACAGACAGGCTCTCGAACCTGGAGAGGGTGGGGATAGCTCCGACACAGTTTGGCCAGAACGCCTCACACCCAATCAGGGAGGTGCCCAATCACATTCGAGAATGGCTCCCCACACAAAGATATTGTGTCCATCTACAACTGAAAAAATGCTAAAAAACAAATAACACTGTTAAATCATAGACACATAGTGTGCACTTTATACATATTAACAAATTTCATCTTCAGAGCAACTTCTTTCTGGGTTATTGTTTTTATTTTGTAGATGAGAAAATGGGTCTAGAAAGATTTAGAAATATGCATGGGTCACTTAATTGAAAATTTGTAGTTAAAATGTGTATAACTGCATATTAAGAAATATTTTATTTCTAATTTTATTTCCCTATAGATGGTATTAACAAAAATTGACAAATCTTCCAAAGGACATCTTTTAAAACAAGTACTTCAGATCCAGAAATTTGTCAACACTCAAACACAAGGATGTTTTCCTCAACTGTTTCCTGTAAGGTAAGAGTTGAATTGTTCTAATAACTTTACATATTAAAAACCTTTAATATTAAGTAAGTGTTTCTTAAATTGAGGTATCAATTAAAATTTGAAAGTCTATGTACTTAGCCATGATTTGTTGGTACAGTCTTTTAGTACTTATATATATTTTTTTCCTTTTATTCTTTCTCATTGGATCTTCCTTGATCCGATGAGAAAGAATAAAATGCCTTCCTTGAAGGCATTTCATTTTATTTCTGCCTCAGCCTAGCTCAACTCTAGACCATGGCAGAAATGAAAATTTGACTTTTTAAAAACAGCCACAATAAAGGTTTCTTTCTTAATTTCAAAGAGAAACAACTGTGTTTATAATAAAAAGCCCAGTCAGGCTAAGAGGGACTAAATTTTTCCTTTTACGTTTTTCCTTTAAAAAGGATAGATAGGAAGAAAAAATTGTTCATATGAGTTCAGATTAAACAGTGGTAGCAGACAGAATGGTTATTTCCTGAGCTGGTAATTTTTGAGGTGTTATGATGTGGTTTCATGACAAAGCATGGGTTTGTACTTTCATGGTGTGTCTTGGGTACAATAAGTAACATACTGTGGCAGAGATAGAGCACCCTCCTGGTGTTTCCTTTCTCTGACTTGTTTGTGGAAGGCACTATGCTAGTTGCTACGAGAAAATAATGAAACCGGATAAAACCTAGATGTCCATAAGCAGCCTTTTTAGGTCCTACCAATATGGATCCGATTTAAATTATAATTATGAATATGCGTTTCAGAACCCTTCTTCCTTCATTCCTACAAAATGCTGTTCTCTTTTGATTTACATTCAGTTATCTATCCAGTTCATTTGTCTGTCCCAAATACATAATGGAAATTCGTAGAGATTGGAGAGAAATCTTAATTCTTAGAGCTCTGGTCATTGTCATAAAAACAGCTATTTCTTGTAACTGTTTAATAAGAAGGAAGTGAGACTTCAGCTAAAAAGATCACTCAAACATAAGATTAGCACATCATGGCTAAACAAAATCATTTGTTGAAAAATATTGTTTTAGTTGACCATAAGCTGAGTTTGAACTACCACATAATGTGACTGGAAGAAAATTTGGGTCTTTTTTTAGGCTACATCAGTGGACCTACAATGTTCAAAACAAGGCAGTGATCAAGGAATAGTCCCATATTTCTGTGGGCTGTGTGCCACGAGACCATTCCTGTCAGATTGTGACTTGACATTAAGAACAATTAGGATGTCTGAAAGCAGATGGTTTTTGAAGGGAGGCTATTAAGCATTCAAAATACTTCATTGATCCTCATAGTAAACATGCCGATTTCACAGACAAGGTTGCAAATCAGAGAAATTGAGAGTTGCAGTTATTTGCTAAATAGTGGTCAGACCACTCAGATCTTACATAGCATAGTTCTTGTACTTCTTGGTTATGGCTTTTAAAGCAGCTTATTTCATTTTCTGAGTCTTTTCTCTCTCTGGTAAAAATGTGATGCTAGAATGTGATTGCCATACAGATGAGGCATATATGTTAAGTTTAATAATGCCAGTCGATAGTGGATGGCAGAGTCAGGCCTGTGACCCAGATTATCAGATTTCTGGTACTTTTTAGGGACATTTTCTTCTTTAGATATGCCAACTTTCTCTGCCAGCATGACCTTGGAATCACTGTTGCTACCATCCATCCTCAACACAGGTGATTAATGATTAAAGTCTTACACCACTCAAAATTTAAGAACTGATACATGACAGCCTACTGAACTTCAAGAGCTTAAGCATTCACTGTAACAGTGACCATTTATAGGAATGTACTCACAGCTTTCAAAACCCCATGCAGAAAATAGGTATATGGACTTCTTGCTTTTACTTGCATAATCAACCCTATGGTGAGGCCTTCAGAATAGAGTTTGGCCTATTTATAAATGGTTATTATAAAGAAATCAGGTATTCTTCGTTTGCTTGTGGTCGGAGAACAGTGAATTGTGTGGCAGACATTTAGTCTGGCAAGGTTTGGTTTTCAAGCTTGCAGGCAAAGGACAAGTGCTAATCTTTATGTATGAACTCTAACCCAGCAGCCTAGAAAATATCAATAGTGAAAGGCTTCCCTAAGATTGAATACTGGGATCAATCTGTTTCATAAATGGTATGGAAGAAATATATAAGTAGGCACCATAAAATTGCTTCTGTATTTGTCTATGTGTAAAATTCCAAGTGAATGAGAACTGATTTTAAGGACAGAGAAAATTATGAGCTGACAGAAATGTTTGTTACACATAAATTCAGGGTTTCATACTATTTGAACCATCCAACTTGTGTCTCTCTTTAAATGTTTATGTACGTGTAACTCCAATTATAAGAATCATTATGGACTTTTCTCAAGGAAGCAGCTTTGACCAAAGAAACTAAAATGCTTACTTAATTATGAAAGGAATTAGTGATACTGTAGGAAATATTCTACCTATATATAAAATCATAATGTATTTTAAAAACCTGAGAATTGATGTGGTTGAGCTCCATGGATAGATGGATGGATGGTTAGGAAGGTTGGGAAGGTTAGGAGGAATGGCTTAATGATTGTATAGAGAAAGATAGACAGGTAAACAAAACTCACAATAATGGAGGGTGATTTTTTTTAAAAGATAAAAAACCTAAAGAAAGTTCTGAATTATCAAGGTGGTGGAATTTTTTTATGAAAACAACAAACTAAAAATATCAAAACTAATTCTGGGAAATAGTAAAATAAAAGGTATAGTAAAGTTTTTAGAATTATGAGGGAAATGGAGCAGATACTGTGGATCATCAGATAATAAATCCTGTAAGAAGCTGAGGGAACAGAGTAAAGGCAGAACAAATTAAAAGACATTTTGCTTCATACATGGAATCACAAAAGTTTGTAAATAACTTTAAGTGAGATAATTAAGATCTGTTACTACCTCTGAGGTAAAGAAAAAAATTATTTTTCTTTTCTTTTCACAGTGCTGTGACCTATTCTGGAATCCATCTGCTGAAATGTTTTATAGCTAATATAACAGGAAATCTTAACTAATGGTATCCGTTAGTTTCAAAGATGAAGTTTCAAAATTCTGTGTGCCACTAGAGTTCAACATCTAGAAAAATTTCAGTATTGTTTTAAATGTTGTATATCTGTAACTTGCAGGAGGATCACTTCAGGAGATGTAAGCTTTAAAACTTGCATCTTCTCAAAATAAGAATGAATTGGTGCCTGGGGGACAAAAGGTTTATAAATAATTATCTGTTCAGTAGAACAAATGCCAGTTGGTTTTCCTATTTTAACAAACTGACAAGCAAGAGCATATTTTTAAAAATCCATAAAATGAAAACCTATTACTACTATGTAGAGAAAGGTTTGCCATGTTATTTATTGACCTTATCTTTTAAAGAAAATGTCTATCATGTATATTTTTTAATATTAAAATGGTCTAAATAAAAGTATCTGCTTTTCTGTTAAGCATTAATAGGTAAGTTGAAGGATACTGCTGTATGCTTATAATTAATTTTTTTCCTAAGTCCTTAGTTGAGTATTAAAAGAATTATTCTTGGTAAAACTTCGCAATCCATGTTGGAACACCAATCATTTCAGCCTGGAATCATTCACCTTTAGCAAGATTAGAATAAAAAAAAAAAAAAAACAAGAATTTAAGTTCCAGTTCTAATATCTAGGTCCTTGGGAAAATTACTTAGTTCTCTTAAATTCATTTGTAACTATGATGACATAAACAATATATTAAAATTAAAATAGTATTACATGAGGTGATATATGGCTACATATTTGTGAATTCAAACTAACCAAGGAATATAGCAAAAGTCATAGGTATTTATCATAAAACATTGTCATTAAGGAGTTGACATATTCTCTAGTGAAAAACAAAAATGAGCTTTAAGCAAGATTAATTTGTAAAGGAAAACGGAAGCAATGAAGGTGATTAACCCAAAAGAACGTTAATGAAGTAGAAAAAAATGCTCAGCTGATAGTCCAACCCGAACCACTCTGGTTTTTATGAGGGATGATGACCAAAGTTTCTTTCAACTATAAAAATTTATGATTTTTGAACAAAAATGCCACTTCAGATGCTGAAACTTACACATAGGAAAACTGACTAGTTCAGTGGAATCACATCAAAGTAAAAGCAGCAGCAAGACTGACCTTAAATCTTAATTCTAGGACTGGGTAGTTAGTTACGGCTCAGTGGTAGAGTGCTCGCCTAGCATGCATGAGGCATTGGGTTCAATCCTCAGCACTACATAAATATAAAATGAAGTTATTGTGTCCACCTACAACTAAAAATTTTTTTAAAAAATGTAAAGACCTTTCATTTTATCTTCTAAATTAGAAATTAGGATGTGAAATCTTCCAAGAAGTTTCTTGAGATAGTAAATAGGTGTTTGAATATTAACAATTCCCCAAAATAAACCAGGCCCTAGTCCACCATGCGGCCAGCGCAATGGTTTCATTAATGAGGTTCTTGGCATAAAAGTTAGCTAGCGGAGATCGAAATAAAACACACAGACTCAGTTACCTTATTTCTATTGCCAGGTCCCCTCTCTGGTTCTTATGTCTAACCGCCCGGCAGGGCAGCAAGGATTACTCAGGACTAGCAGGAGAGAGAGAGAGTGAACACGCCAGGGAGTAGCCTTTTATTGGGGAACAAGAAATTTAGGGGAGAATTCCATCCAATGAAGGTTGAGGGGGGACCGCACTCCAAGGTCAGGGTCAGTGGTCAGTCACACCCCCACACGGACGGGTTGTCTCATCAGGAGAGGGCCAGGAAAGCTCCAACACAGCCAGATCTGCCTCAGACCCAAAATAGGAGTCACCCAGTCACGTGTGAAGATGGCTCCCCACACCCTAGGGTGACAAAGCTATTCCACACCAGCTTTACTCTTACTAATTTACCTTCATTTCCCAATATGTAAAGGAAATACACAGGATACAAAGCCATTTAGACATTGATCACATTTCTAGATTGTCATGAATACAACATCCATGATATTGTCCTGGAATTTTTGGTAATTTTTCTTCAGAGTTATCAAGAAAAGAGATTTATGTTGGTTTATGGTCCTGGGGGTACAAGGTTGAGAGTTCTTATCTGGTGATAGCTTTCTTGCTAGCAGTCCTTAGGCTTCACATGGCAGAAGATGGAGTGGTGTGTGTATCACTGTCCATGTTTTAAGGCACCAAGTAGCTACTTACTGCCATTCGTCAAAAGGCCAGAAGGAATAGTTAGTCTAGAAATTAAGAACTCCAAATTAAAAACAGGATGTTTAACAGTGCTTCAGGAGAAAAGCTAACCAGTATTTATATCATTGACTCTGGATTTGGGGGTCACTTGAATCAAAATCTCCTGAGCTCCTTATTAAAATAAACATGCAGACTTCTGGCCTCAACCCTGGTCCATGTTTATCAATCTAGGAGAAGAGGCTATGATTCTATTTTTAAATAACTTATCAGGTGACTCCAAAAAGTGAAAAGTTCAAGAACCACTGATACAGATAAGGGAGAAAATGAAGAAAACAGATGGAAAGAACAAAGGTGGGTAAAAAATGGAAAGGTAATTCAGAGGAAAAAAAATGGTAGGATGGCTGAGGAAAGGAGGGATGTAGAATATGTGAGGGCACTGTATTCTTTTCCTGTCTCTGAAACAACATAAAACTTAAGGCTACCTGAGAAGCATATTAACTTAACTCCAGTCAAGTCTGTACATTTGAGCAATACCTCAAATTTCACATCATTATTTGGAAATATATGAAGATTTAGCCTCTGAGGCCAATTGTACAAGCACATACAAATACCAGATATCATCAGCACCCAATGACAAATTATACCTTTACTCCAGGGCATATTTTGTGTCTCCTAATACTTTCCTTTACTTCTTTGTTATCCTGTTGCATTTCACACATAAACACAAGCCATCTTATATCCCTAATGGAAAAGGTTTACTAGGGGGGAAAAAAAAAATTCTTGATTGGTACCACATAAACAATATTAACAAATAACTAAAAATCTCTTGAAAAACTTCAAAAGTATTTTAATGTACCCTCCTGTGGGATAAGGTGAACAAATGAAGAGAAATAATGGTTGTGCCCGTCTCTGGTAATAAGTACAAATTACTGACAAAACTTTTAAGTCTTTTTGATAATTCAGTCTAATACATAAACAAGACAGCACAATGGATGGAAGCTATAAACATTGGTATTTAGAGGTGGACTTAAAGGACTAAGTGACCCTCAAGGGTACTTCCTTGCTACTCTCCAATTTACTCCCCATTTACCTTAAGGCACAGGAGTTTTTGCAAACTTTGTTATTCAGGTCTTCATTCCCTGGTAAATCATAAAACTATTTAAATTTTCAGGGACTTATCAGCCCCAGTGAAGGAATTACATTTGTTTCTCAAGGGCAGGCTGACAGACTTTTCATCTTAATACCTGTCATGTAGTCAAAACCAAATAAACACTTGTTGATAAATGGCACAAAGCAACTATAAATGTTTACTGAACCAAAATGAACTCCTATGTGATGTTACACAGAAGCAGCTCCTCTTAAAACAGCAGAAGACTGACTTAGATTATTAACTACTTAAAAGTCTCACATATGAACATCTAAACTCCCATTAAAGCAAAAATGTCATCAATGTCATCTGTCTCCTTAACAGATTCTGGCATTCTCTCTTTGTTTATTTGTATTTTTATCCATGAATCACATTCACTTCCATTGCTTCCTAGGAGGTTCTCATGAATCTGTTGCTCCTTAGTTTGTTTGACAGGACTTGAAAGTCTGTTCAAGAGCTGCTTACTGTTAGGACCAGGATCAGTTCTCTGAACTGTATGGCATGAGAGTCTCCACTTAGCACTGGTGTCTGTAGCACTCTTTGAAGAGAACTGCTGTATTTCCTTCAGATGAATTGACTGCAACTTTCTCTGTGGTTTCCTTTGTCTCAGAAAAAAATTATTCTGTGATCTCCTTTGTCTCAGATGATACTTTGAAGTTTTGATTCCTGAGCCACGAAGAAGACAGTTACTAATAGATGTTTTTATGCACTCTAGTTTCTTTGGCAAACTGAAAGACAAAAAGAAAAAAAGTCTGAATTTTTTGAGATGCAAATAATTCAAGCACTATTTAAACATGTTTCCTTTCTACCAACTTCCTACAGAAAAGGACACAATTTATTTACAAGTCCTCTCCCTATGTATAATCTCAGAATCATAAAAGAAGGAAATAAGGAAACTGGAGTTTCAAATTTTCAGAGCAAAACTTCCCTCTGATTCAGACTATAGGCAGATATGTCTGTTTTGCTGAATGATGAACTCTGCCCTCATAGTGTATCAGAAGTGGAAATGCAAAACATCAAAAGTGAAAAAAAATCCATCAGTACACAGTTATCCACATCTGGACAAGCAACTCATGTTGACAGGAAATGAACAAGAAAAAAGGAATCGGGTCCTCTGCCATACAAACTTCAGGTAACCTTGAGCTACCTGAAATGCAGTCTATAGCACATCATCTTCAAGTGTTCAAAATTCTGAATTCAAACAGTTGATTCTAAAAGGTATTTTTGTTTCTAAATAGGGTGCACTACCATAGGTTCATCAATGCTTACTGAACTGCCTCAATGTAATGGCCAAATTTTAAAATATTAACATAGGTCTACACTCCCTATCCCACTTCCCTTGTTACTTTTAAAACAAATACAAACATTTGAAGTAATCCATGATCTCTGTTTCAAAACTATTGTCTTACTCTAAGTGGTGACATTTAACAGAGAAAGTGTAGGTATAACTCTTATATTGAAATGAAAAGAGAATGAATAGGAACAGGAATTAGAGAACCTGAATTGAGTTCTAAGCCTCCAGTAATTACACCTTATGCAAAAATCTTCCATTTCCTTATGTATAAAATGAGAATAATGCTGCCTACCTCATGGAGTTACTATGGAAATTAAATATAAAGTGTAGTACAAAAAAAAATGAAACAGCTAAATAGGACAATGTGAAAGAGGACTAAGGGAAGTACAGACTATAGTGGCTTAACCAATAAGCAACTTTGTGATTGTTCTCATTAACTCCTTCCTTCCTTTTTCATTCCCTTCCTCCCTCCCTCCCTCCCTTCCTCCCTCCCTCCCTTCCTTCCTTCCTCAGACATTCAGAGCTGTCCCCTTCAGGTAAGCTGATGAGATCTTTTTTTCCCCTCTTTGTATAATGATTTTTATTATGCTTTGCAATTATACATAATAGTGGAATCATGACACTTTCATACTTGCATAACATAATTTGATCAATTTCATTCCCTGGTTATCTCCCCTTTCTCATTAACTTTTAATCATCATCTCTGCCTCATCCAACCCAATCTTGAATAAAGGGCCTCTCACCATCTCTAGCAATTTCCAACCCTAGGATAGATCCCTTTAAGATGACTACAGACCTCTAGGGGATCCCAATGTTAAAAACCTTCTAGTTCATCCCTAGGAATATTCAACTACTTCTCCCAAGCATTGTTGTGAGAATTTGCTACAAAAATCCCCATTATATATCACATTTTTTCTAAAGTAGAAATATCTTTTTCATAATTTTTAAAACAAACCTTAAATTTCAGATAGTTACGGTGGTTCATCCACAAGAAACATTATAAAGCCCTGGGTAGTTACATGTTTACGGCTATCAGTAAGAAATTATGGTGTGTGATAGAATATTTCTTGAACATAAAAAACTAGTCAGAGTGATAACTGCCTCTGTGAAAGGGAATAAGGATATTTATGCCTGTCTGTGTGTGAATTGGTACCTTCAGCATCTATTATTTTCAGTAAAAATAAGAGCCCTGAAGTAGCTATAACTTCAAATAATGCTTCAGGCAACACTGGCCTATAATCATAAATAGTTCTATGAGTATAAAAATCACAGGAAAAGAAAGACATCAAAACATGAGGAGTAACTCCTCTGAACATCTAGCTTGACCCTGGATGCTGGCAGCCTAGTATGGGGGACCTTGAGGTGCAGGCTCCCATTCCTGCGCTCAGACCTTCATCTCACTACACTATGTGCAGAAAGGCCACCTGTCCCACTAAAGCATGAGCTTTCTAAGGACCAGTCTTCCTCCTGCAGCAGTGTCCTCAAGCTTTGTACACCAGACATTCTTAATGCTTCCTAAATGAATAGATGGGAATGATAAAAAGTACTAGTGAGTAGGTCCAATTAACCTAAGTTTGCTTTCTTTCTCCCAATAACATAACTATGCCCATATGACAAAAGCAAGAAATGAAATTACAATTTGAGTAGATCTCACTTTCAGCACAGTTAGAGCTGCTAGACATCCTATTTTAAAGAAAAGAGATTTGAATATAAATACTTTTGCCCTGAGCAACAACAGAAAAAGAAGTATAATTTTTGTAATATCCTTACCTATAACCTTGAGCTTCCACATGTTTAAGCCTGTTACTTTTAAGAAGTTTGTTACCCAGAAAGGTAGCCTGAGCCTTGAATTTTTTGCTCCTGCACCATGTAATTGCCATTTGGATTGCTTCAGAGAGTTGTTTGAAAGTCTTGGCCTCTCGGAATTGTTGCACAAAATTTCTGGCAGGAGTAGTTCCTGTCACTTTCTGAGAATGTTTTGTTGGCTTCAGTTTGGATTGAGAACCTTTAAACTCAAAGCTGGTCTCCTGAAATATGAAAAGATGAAGAAAATATATTAAATACATTAATGATTTGTAAATATATGACAAGAAGGAAAGCTGACTCAATCAGAAGTTTAAAATAATCAGTTTTTTTAAAAGAAGGAAAACTTTTTGCTGTATTATCCTTTTGTCCTAAAAATCTTAATTTTGTATTCTCAGCTCCTAGCGTAATTTGTTTTTTCCCCACTTCTATACTAAGACAGTGGAATTACATGGACCCATGAAACTCAATATAAATATTTCTAGTGCACACATCAACATACATCCAAGAATGAAACTCCAAATGGTTAAATACCAGTCAAAGCCTAATAATGGAAAGACACTTCAGTTTGGATTGAGAACCTTTAAACTCAAAGCTGGTCTATCTGCTAAGTAACCTTCTTCAATAATGAGTCATAAATGTTACTGAAAATACTTGAGGATGGGGGGACGTGGAGCCTGCAAAGTATCCAACAAAGCAGACCTACCAATCATTTAATTAACAAAGAGTGAACATGTTAAAAATGCTTAAGTGAGCAACATTTCCATTTCAGTTAAACCATTTTCTTACAAGGCACCTTTATTTTTTTCAATCCCTTCTTTCTATATTTCAAGTCAAGTTTGGATTTTACTAACTTTTACTATTTCCTATGAAAACATGCCACCTACTAAGTCTGCTTCTATTCTCCTTTCAAAGCTTACCTTCTAAATTTCTCACACTCATCTTAAAAAAGAAATGCAAAATATAAAAGTAGAGACCCATCAACATTTTGTTTGGTGATCAATAAAACAAGTTTACCCTTAAAAGCAAATGGCACATTAGTGTCAACTTCTAAAAATATGGTAGTGATTACTTTTGAAAGGGACATCAACCAACCAGTTTCAAAACCAGCTCATCTACAAGCAGCTGGATAAGCTGCAAAAGTTTCAAGGGTCACAAGGTACCATAGCTCTCCAAGACAGAATTGAATTAAAAATATTTTGGGGCTGGAATAGTAGTAAAGAAAATATACTGCCCGCATCCAGCTCTTCCACTCATTCAGTGTGTGGCCTGGCAATTTCTTAGTCTTTCTATGCCTCAATTTCCCCAACTGAAACATGAAATCAGTAATAAAATTATCTGCTTCACAGGACTTCTCAGAAGATTGCATGAGTTAATGCACATAAAACATTTAGAGCAATGTCAGGCACAGAAAATATTAGCTATTATTTTTATCCCTCCCTCTGGCAATCTGAAGTCCTTGTAAAAACTGTGACTTATTAGAAATGATTAATAATTAATTATTAAATAGAATGGAAGAAGAAAAACAACAAATGAAACGAGAAGAAAGACATTTTACAAAGATAAAGGATAATAAAAATCAAGTAGTTATTATGGTGAAAAAGGGTTGACACTGACATACTTAACTGTTGTTAAGTACAGAACAAACAGAATTTACAGGCACTAACTAAAGAGAGGAATCATGTTAAAGTTTGAACTCAATAAGAAGAAAATAACCTCATAACAAATGAGGAGGATGATAAAAATGATGACAATTGCTAGTAATGTCTAACACCAATTAAATGCTTTCCATGCTCCAGATCCCACTGAACGCTTTGTATGTATTAAAACTATCCACACGCTGTGAGGTTCATACTATTATTATAAAATAGAGGTATGAAGAGACCAGGGAACTGACAGGTCACACAGCTAGTATAAACCAAGGCTAGGATTCAAAACATCTGTCTGATTGCAAAGCCCATACTCTTAAACTGCAGTGTAGTCCATACTTATAATCGATGTTATGGTCACTTTAAAATTCTAAAGAAACTCATACTAAAACATTTCTGAAAGCATTCTATTAACTGAATTAACTGGAAGCATTAAAAAATTCCCTGCCTCTATTCATTCAAAAGCATACACACAACTAATAAGGCACCAACCTTAAAGCTGGGCATAAACAGAGGACTAGGATTTATTCCCTGTTCTTGGTGAGTAACATCCTCTACAAATTAGCAGAAATCAAAAGCTGTATTAAATTAAGTCAGACAAACCTCAGTGGCTTTGTGTTTCAGCTGTTTGCAGAAAGACCTCACATCAAATCCTGTAGACTTTTCTGTGGAGGTAGAAAAATCAGAGAGAAAAACTTAGGAATGGTATTTTCAAATCTCCAACAAATTCTTAAGTGCACATTTCTTGCCAAGTTACTACAAAAGAAATAAAGGGAATAAAGCAAGTAAAAAACTATTTCTAACAAAGAACTTTTAAGCGCTCAGCCTTGGAAAACATAGGTGTAACTATACCTCTCTAATCAGGGTGGGTTAACATTCAGCAGTGAGACAGAATTTCTTTCTATATAATGTATGACTACATCATGCTTTTAAAAGTTTTATTTAATTAGAATATGTACTATATCAAAGCAAATTACCTTTGAAGACATTCTTTACTGGCTGTCCAAGATCCACATTATTCTGTATATTGGTCTTCATTTGTTTAGCTTTTTTGGAAATGCTAAGTAAAGTGTCTTCGCTGGACCTTGACGATTGTTCTTTTGTTAAAAAGAGTTTATTTAGTAGCTTAGCTACTCCTTTAGCTGCAAAAGCTGTAGGCATTTTTTTCTTAAAGACTTCAAGATAGGGCTGTCCTAGAAATTCAGCAATATCAGAAGGAAAGGTAAAACCTTTAAAGTAAGGCATGGGTTGAATCCTAGTGATCTCTTGAAGTAATCCAAACAATGGCTCATATAAAGAAATCAACCTTCTTAAAACACCTTTATAGAGAACCCTAGAAAGAACAGGAGCTTATAGATTAGCTAGTAATTACAATGTAGATTACATAATAAACTATAAGATTCAAAACTGAAAACAAATGGTTATCAAGCTCTATCAGTATAGATTTAAAAACAACACCACTATGCAAGTTGCAAGTAGTTGGTTTAATCCAGCACAACAGACAAATTCAAGTACAAAACAATACTCAAAAACAAAGAGTAGAGAGCTATGTCAAAGAATGCACATAAAAATTTAATAGGTGGTTTTATCTTAATGGTGAGATTTTAAGCAAATTTCAAATACTTCACATTTTTATGTTTTTTATAAGATAAGCATGTATGCTTGTAATCAGCAAAAGTTAAATCTCTTCATTACAGAAAATAACAAACGTTAAACATTTTAAGATAAATGACAGTAATTCAAATGGTATTCCCTCTGATTAAGAAAAAGCAGAATAAAAAGCAAAGTGATAAGAAATAGTACATGATAGATCCAATTTAAGACAACAAAGCAAGGTTTTCAGTCACTGAATGCAGAAAGAATTTTCTACATTTTTCAGTTTTACATTCAAAAATTAGAGCTAATGAACCAATTCTGAGTCTAACTATTCATCAAATCATTTTCACAATATGTATGTTAAGAAATTCAAGAGATCGTCTCTTTAGTTTGCAAGTATTGCCAAGTTTTCTTTACATCAACTAAACAGGCTTCTAAAAACAGTGCTGTTTCAAGAGGAAGGAAAATCTATAGCACATAAGGAATATCAAATTGTATTTTTCACTTTCATTAAAAATTAGAAACTAGGGGCTGGGGTTTAGCTCAGTGGTAGAGTTCTTGCCTCGAACCTGTGAGTCACTGGGTTCAATCCTCAGCACCATATAAAAATAAATAAATAAAAATAAAGATATAGTGTCCATTTACAGCTAAAAATATTTTTTTAAAAACTTAGAAACAAAATGGCAAAAAGAATCATGGTATAGCCAGCATAAGAATATCATTATTTTAAATAGCCCCACCAGTATGGCACATACCTTTAATCCTGGCAGCTCAGGAAGCTGAGACAGGAGATCACAAATTCCAGAGCAGCCTTAGCAACTAAGTGAAGCCCTAAGCACCTTAGTAAGACCCTGTCCCTCCCCACTCCACCCCCCCAAAAAAGGACTAGGGATGTAGCTCAGCGGTAAAGTGCCCCTTGGTTAAATATCTAATACCAAAAAAAAAAAAAAAAAAAAAGCCCATTGCAATGCAATCTCTGCCACCAATTTTTTTATTCCAAATCCTAAATCCTAGGAATTCATTTCTTCAGTTTTTTAATGTTAGGCTGAATTTTTTGGCTTCAGATTCAAAGCCTACTCCTTTGACATAATCATCAGCACTTAGCTTCCCAATCTACCAAAAGTAAACTGATCAGATGAAGAAAGGGACTCCTGCACCTTCAGCATCCCATGAAAAAACAATATGAAATGAAACTATATAAAAACTACTAATAAGAAACCTAGATTGAGGTAGGGAAATGAAAAAGAAATAAAAATCTGTTATTTTTATGTTAAAGGCCATGTACGTACCAGAATCTGCTCACCAGCCCAGCCATCACAAGATTTAAAATAATAAACTCTTGCAATCCTAGATGTTTCACAGTTAAGCTGGAGAATCAATTTAAGGTGGGAAAACAAAACAAAAGTAATCTGTGCTTTGCAAGTTACAATTATGAAAGAAGAAACAGATTGAAAGTAAAAAGAATCTTCTTGAAGACTTAAAGCATGTTCCCCTTAATGTCACAAAAATGTAAAAATATAGTAATCAATATAACTTCGAAGTTCTTAAATTTAACTTCTAAGCTTAAGAATTTTCTAGCTGCCAGTGCTTTGAAGATAATATGTGCTAGAGAAAGAATGTCTGGCAGTGGCCATATCCACCAATTACGAGGAAAAGAAGGCCAAGAAACAAAATTTTTAAAATTCTCACAGGTTATAACATTTATCAGGCCCTTGCTTTCAAACAGAAATACTGTTAAATATATCCAGACAATGCCCATTCACAAGAAGTTATTTTAATAGATTAAAGGATACAGAAATGCCTTGCAACAGCAGTCCAACAAGCGGAGTAACAACTTGCAGGCTCCCAAAACCTTCATCAACACCAATTCCACCACTGGTTGGCTGGGGATGACACATGTTTTGGCAGATGCAGGCTGACTTTCACTTGACAAAAACAGAAAAGTGCATTATTTCATTTTTAAACAAAAAAACATTTCTATAGCAGTTTTCAAGAGAAGACTTATTTTAAGCTCAAAAAGTATACTCAATAATAACCAACTAATGTTTCAATATAGCCTATTGTGATCCAGCTTTCAAAGTCACTCCACTCTTTCCCACAGACCAACAGAAGGAGATAACCACAAACACCAGGTGCCCCTTATTAAAACAAAATTGTATAGCTGAAGTATAACTGGTTATACCCCACCACCAAGCAGAGAAAATCTAAAGGGGAAACACGACAGGACATCAAGTTCCCAGCGCACCACAACACAAAGCAATAGACCACCTACGTGGAAGAAAGCAGCTGAGATACATCTTCAATTGAGTCCTCCAAATTCATGTTTTTTAAACGTTTTAAACATTGTTCAACCTGAAAAAGAAAGAGCAGGTCAAATCAGTATAATGCAGTCAGGGTTCACTTGATATGACCAGGAAAGCAAAGAAACCATACTTTCAAAGTGTGAAAACAAGCTAAATACTACAGAATACCTTTTGTTTAAGGGTAAAGAAATCCAAAACCCAAAACAATTGCTTCTGGTTACAAATATGGAATTTATCCTACTCAACAAACTGCTCAAATAAGATAATGACTAAGAAATTACTAAATGCCAGAATCTGATAAAAGGAGCCAAAATGAGTATTTGATTATGATTTTAATGAAGCAACATGCTTTATAATAGTGAAGCCATTAAAACAAGATATTAAATTATTAACTACTAAATTTCAACAGTCTATAAAGTACCACAAATATGAGAAAAGTGACTGAGTCACTGAACAAATGTTATCTCAATGAAGCATGCTAGGAGATATAGTGAGGCATTTTCCAATTTCTAGTAGTAAAAATAAGATGATATATAAAATATTCAAATGCTAAAATAAAAATTGATGTACTTTATTTAAAATTTCAATTCCCTCCTTTTCTTCACAGCACTTACCACCACTGACATATCATTATTAACTGATTGACTGATTCATTGCCTTTCTCTCCAAAATGTTCTCTAAGCGCCACACTGTATTTTGTCCATTTTGATCATCAGTATAATCCAGTTCTTAGAAGTAGGCATTAAATACCATTTTTAAAAAATGGCAAGAGATACTCATTATACAGAATGGTCCAAGAATTCTGTAATTATCAGGAAATTCCACACAAAGGGTATACATGGGACTGTATCCATAATTTAAAGACTATATAGATTTGGATGTGTACTGGTACTAGCAACAATAGTATCTTGCTGGAGTTACATGTATACTACAAAGTTGAATGAAAGTTAAGGATTCTATCTTAACAGCAATTTTCAGAATAATAAAAGTAACAATCCTTAAATTCCTCTTAAAAGCTCCTATCTTTTTCAGTTTTTAAATCTGAACGCCACTTTTTGAGAGAGGTAACAACAAACCAAAAAGGTAAGGTGCTTGGTAAACTAAATAAACTATGATTCAAGAGACAGGACCAAAAAAAATTGAGAACTTGAGCAAAGAAGAGACAGGACATGGAAGAACATAACAAGTCTTACTACACTCAAAGAATTGTCACACAAAAGAGGAATCAAAAATATTTTTTGTGCTCCATTTGAGGGAGTGTTAAAAGGCAAATCCCAGTATCTGGCTTTTGAAGAGAAAATATTAAATCTCAATGTATGTAAAAGTTCTCTGTAAACTGTGAAATGTTAAGGAGATATAAGGCAGCAGTAGCAGTGACAGTAACAGCTGCAGCAGTGAGAGACACTATGAGACAAGTTCCCTGCTAAAGGATATAAGGAACATATACACAAATAACTGTACCTCAACACAGTTTGTATTAAATGCTATAAGAGAAATGAAAGGGAAGCCGAGATAGTAAATAATCAAAAAATACTCAACTTTACTACTAATAATAAAAATGCAACTCAAAATGGGATTGCCATAACATACACTCATGTTACATCTTAGAAAGAAAAAAATTATCACTGCCAGGGGACTTAGAAGATGAGACAGCCTTTCAAAAGAGGGAACAAACATAGTAAACACGTTAAGAATTCGGGCTGTCCAGACATGATGGTGCACTCCTGTAATACTAGTGACTCAAGAAGCTGAGACAGGAGGATTGCAAGTTTGAAGTCAGTCTCAGCATCTCAGCAGGACCCTCTCTCTATTTTTTTTTTAATGACTGAAAGACTTGGAGTATAGCTCAGTGGCACAGTGCTCTTAGGTTCAATCTCCAATACTGCTTTAAAAAAAAAAAAAAAAAAAAAAGTTCAGGTTGGCCACAACACAAGATACATGAAGGCCAGAGAGAAGCCTGAGCTAACAAAGGCTAACGAGGCTAGATCATTAGAGTATACCAGGAGCCAAACAAAGGAGTTTTGACTTTATTCGGGACACAATGGAGAATTACTAAAAAATCAAAGTTGTTTTAGGATGGTTAATAACCTAGTTTTGTTAAATTGAATACACCAAAATGTAAGCCAGACTAAAAAAAACATCTGTTAGGATAATAAGAACTACATGCTGAAAAGGTCTAAACACGAAATTGGCAGCCAGAACTGAAGAGGAGATGCAGAGAAAGTTCCAACTTATAAATTGGTTGGGAGAGCTACACATAAAGAAGAAAATGAGACAATAAAATACCAAATTTTTTTGACTGGGTGATTATATACCACCTAGAAGCCAGGAGGAAAATATGTTAAATCTAAGAGTTAATAATTTTGCTTTTGGATTACTTCCACTCAGATAAAAGTTATCCTAGGGAATCTTTAGGAAAAGACCATGATTCCTGATCTTTCTTTAATGAAGAGTTTTTCATTCTTTTGCCTTAAATAATGGGAGGAAAAATTTAACAAGAAAGTTGAGTCTATAAGATTAGAGACAATGTTTGTCTTTTTCACTCCTATATACCCAGCACAAAGCTCAGTGCCTGGCACAAATAAAGTTGTAAACAATATTTGCAAGGTGTCTGTTACACAAATAAAGTGAATAAATGAATGAACACATAATGAACGTAGCTTAAGAGGCTCTACTCTATGTTTTAGTCCAAGCTGCAGGACCCAATTTTGTCTTAAGCTCTAATAATTACAGGAAACCACTTTATACCAAAAACTTGCCATATACTCATTTACTATTGATTAGATTATGTGCCCCGCAATAAACCAGAACATTGTTCTTTTTAGGATTTAAATATGCTCAGATAATTGTTTGTTAATATTTGACACTTTTACCTTGATCACTTTATCTTTGAGGTAAGCAAAGGCACTATTACATAGATTGCACAAAACGAAAATTTTTTTTTTACTTCCTAATTAGAAAAAACTGGGAAAGAATTAATCTAAACATACTTACTTTCAAACAAAAAAAAAATACTTTTTTGAAATAGTTTCAGAAAGACTCACATTTAACTCTGGGCTACAGACCTATAAATCACAAGTAATTTACTGAGATTTCCATTATAATAAAATAGTGACAGTGTGATCTACATCTTCTTCAAGTAACAATCTGGGCATTGAACATAGGGCTTCCTCCTCACCTGTTTGAGGGCCAGATGAGGTTTATGGCGGCCCATTCTGTTGTGATTGCTGTAAAGAACTGCACATAACACATCTGCTTCTGCATCTAAGGTTTGGCTCCTCAGCAACCGTGTGACAAGACGGCATTCTTTAATTACAGCTGCAATGCAAAGGTCTAAAGCAGAGACATTTAATAAGACTTTGTATGTATTTCTACATTAAAGATACTATATGAAAAATACACTGGGAGAAATACCTTTCCTTATTTGCTTTAAAGCAATCAAAAATGAAATTAATACAGTCAACCTCAACTGCACAAACAACAAAGGATTCTAAATAAGTGAGAAGTTAGAAAATGGTGATCAATGATATAAACCCCAAGAAATCATTAAGAGAACATCTGTTCAACAAGAATACATATATCTTTACATTGCATTTTACCATGACTTAAGTAATTTTTTTTTTCATCTGAATACAGTCACTCATTTGGTGTACACTTTAAATACTTTGAAGCTGGGCATACATACTTCTCTAAATCTCCCATTTTGCTATGCATGTAAGCAAAACAGAACAGATAGATTCATAGCCTTTAAAGTCAAAGAAACTGTATTCGGATATCACTTTTAAGAAAGACAAAAGCAAGGCATGGTGACTCACACCTGTAATCCCAGAGACCCAGGAGGCTGAGGCAGGAGGATCACAAGTTCAAAGTCAGCTTTAGCAAATTATTGACGCCTTAAACAACTCAGCAAGACTCTGTCTCAAAATAAAAAATACAAAAGGGCTGTGGGTATGGCTCAGTGGTTAAGCATTCCTGAATTTAATCCCTGGTACCATAAAAAGACAAGAATATGTAGTCAGTCCTTTATATCCATGGGTGAAATCTATGGATTAAATCAACCTCAAATTGAAAATATTTGAGGTTAGGGGATAATCCATCTGTACTGAATATGTACAGACTTTTTTCTTGTCACTATTTCCTAAATAATACAGTATAAAAACTATTTACATGATATTTACATTATACTTAGGTATTATAAGTAATCTAGAAATTATTTAAAGTATAGAGAAGAATGTGTGTAGGTTATATGCAAATACTGTACCATTTTATATAAAGGACTTGAGCATCTGCAGATTTTTGGAACTCAAGAGGTTTCTGGAACCAATCTCTTATGTGAACAGAAGATCATATTTAAAAAGAGAAACCACCATGTCCACTAGAAGTTATATTTGTTGAACATCTGACTGAACACCAGTGCCCAGAAGTTTCCTAATCTGCAAAGGTGTCAAAAACAGGAAGTCAACTGTTCTATAGCTCTAAGGGAAGGCAAGCACTCTAGGTGGAAGTAACACAAAGGCAGGTTTGTATACAACATGCAGAATTATCTTACTGTCCCAAATATTTGAAGACAATAAAGGCTGCCTTGGGGATGAGGAGCGAATTAGTCAATGTCCCATGCCTAACAGGAATTCTGTTTAAAAAGTTCTAGAGGAAGGAAGATTAATCGGTAAACTGAAAGGATGGATGGGAGGGAATGGGGCGGAAGTGATGATTTATTTGGTAGGCTGTATTTAACATTAATAAACGTCATTAGATTTTTCTATTAATGTAATTTTAACAAATGCTAGCATTTGTCTATCGCCATAGTACAGACTCGCTTTCCCCAAGACAGACTTGAAGAAGGTACTATTTCTACTCTCATTAGAAAATGAGCTTAGGCACAAAAAGGTTTAATAACTCTCCTAGGCTCCTACCTACTACATCCTACTGCCAAAACTAGCAATGTATCACATTACTAACACTTGAGTTCACATTGCACTCTCCTAATTTGCATCATGTTGGTTAGGGGTAAGGTAGGCAAATTGTTTTACAGATAAGAAGCCAGAGGTCCAGCAGATTGTGCGTTAAGTCCAGAGTGCTTGGGTGACTCCCCAGCTCCTCGGGCCGAAGTGGCTTAACAGTCCAAGAGCAAGCTCCGGGCGGCCGGCGCCAACTCTGCCCGTTCCCAGGCAGCACTTTATTCCGGCGCCTGCTATATCCTCTGGGCGCGGAGATGCACTTTGGCCCTTGACACCCTCCAGCCAGGCCCTGCGTTAGCACGTGGGTTCACTACAACAGCCAGAACCGGGGGCGACAGAAGCCCTCCGCACTCTGCCCGGGGCAGCGCAATACCCTGCGAAGCTCAGCGCCCCTTCCCAGCGTTCCCCGGACTCAGGAAGTCCCGCCCCGCTCCACGGGCGCCGGCCGGCCCGAAGGCTCCTCCGGAAACGTCGGCGCTCCTCGCAGCCCCTCACTTACTCAAGGAGGCGCCAGGGTCCCGCACGGTCACGGTGCTCTGGCTCCCCGCCTTAGGGATCCTCACGCGGTTCCACGGCTCCGGGCCCGGCGGCATGGCAGCAGCCATCTTGGAGACGGGGCGGGCTTACGATGGGCGGAGCTGGGCGAGACCAAGTGGAGCGGCAGAGGAGGGGGGTAAGGCCAAGGCGGGTAAATGGGGAGGGGCGGGGCCCAGAGCACAGCGACGGGCAGCCTTTACCTGGGCTCCACAGTGTGGGTTGCAGAGTCCTTGCTATATGTGACAAATGACTTCCTTGTTCACTCTTCAACAGGGCAATTTTGGTCACCCTGCATCAGAGGAAGAGCACTCTGAAGAACAAATTTGAGAGGGAAGAGGCTGGAGACATGGAGACTATTACAAATGCTGAAGATAGAAATGATGAAAGCCTGAACCTTCAAGCACTGGTACTGGAGACTGAGAGTGTAACTTATGTAGAGGTCTAGTATTTAGATTTTTATCTGTCTAGGGTGTTTTCTAGATTTTCACCTTGCACCTGAAATATGGCATTCAGAAGAAGAACCAAATTAGATAGGTGGCAGGAATAATGAGATAACTATTGAAATACTGAATTTGAGATGGCCCATTGGCTGTTCATAAGAAAACAGATGATGTATTAATCAGGGGTCCACCAATCAAGCAAAAATAGTAGCATATGAAGGTATTTGTTAAAGAAATTGGCTTATGTGATTGTGGGGATTGGATAGTAAAGTCCAAAATATGTATAGCAGGCTTGAAACTCTCAGGCAGAAACTGAAGGAGCAGTCCATAGTGGAAATTCATCTTCCTTCTTGTCTTTAGAGAAACCTATGTTTTAAGTCCTTTGAATCAGGCTCACTCAAATTACTTGGGGTAGTCTCCTTTCCATAAAGCCAACAAATTGTGGATGTTAATCACATCCACAGAATACCTTCACAGCAACACCTAGATTAGTATTTGGTTGAATAACTAGGTACTGTGTAACCTAGCCAAGTTGATTCATGAAACTGGCCATTGCAAGTGGGAAATCACCTGATCATATACATGCTAAGAAGAAGGAAACAAAAAGAGTAAAAAAAGCTGGACATACTCAAGAGACAAAAGGAAGATAATTGATGGACAAGACCTATTACTCATTCAACAAAATATTTGACTAGTACCATATCAAGTACCAGAGGTGACAACAGGAGTGTATCAAGTGCTTAGTAAAGGGATCCACTTGACAATCAAAGAACCTTTAGTCTCTGAGCCAGGAAAAAAACTAAAGATAGCCATAGATGCCGGGTTTCTGATCTCGCGACTAAAAGGCTCAGGGGTCACTCCATTTAAACTAGGCTGACTGGGCTGCACGAAATAACCACACAAGAGACACAAATACCTTTTTCTTTGGGGTTGCTGTGACAGCTCCTCTGACCTTAAGGGTCTGAAGAAAGAGATAGAGCGAGAGCACGTGCTGACCCCTTTTATTGAGGAGAAACTATTCAAATGAGGCAAGGGGTCAGGTTTCAGGGGGCTGAGTCTATCTTCATGATGTCCACTGTCAGCAGGTTGACTGACACGTGGGTAGGTCACACCCAAGAGCACAGTAAAAGAAGGGGACACACACAAGGCACTTCCACAGAAGATTCTATCCTAAACAGGACAAGGGGTTATACTACAAAGGAACAGGTGAGCATAGCTTCACCCACGGGGCTATAGCAAGACACACCCATGCATGAGACACCGACCACATTTCTGTGACTGAGCGCCTCAGCACCCAGCCGGGGAGTGTGACCCAGTCACGTGTAAGGTTGGTCTCCTACACACAGATATGGATATGTTTTAAGTGCAGTAATAGAAAGATAGGGGAGCCTAAAAATGAGAGCCTTTGTATTAGTAGAGGAAGATCTGAGATCATTACCAACAGTAGAAGATAGGGATGGTATTCTGGGTGAATAATGGAGGGAAATCAGAACTTTCTTGAACTGGGGTATATGGAAGGAATGCAGGCTGTGTACATAAGGAAGTCAGGTTTTAAGGCCATACTTTAAATTTCCTGTATGATGAAAAAAGACTGTCACAGATGCAAATGACCAATAACTATCCAAAACTTTGTCCACCTCATTATCCAAGAAATACAAAATAAAATAATTTTGAGGTACTGTCATATAGACAAAGTAAAAAGTGTGATGGATGTCTTGTTTCTAGGTCTTTCCTCAAAAATTTAGATATGAAGTTATCCTTGATTGTTGTAATCCTAAAAATTGAAAATGATTTTGTATCCACATAGTGAATCTGTTAGAAAATTTAGGCAGTGGAATTACCCACCCCACCCCACGCACACACACACAAAACCTTACAAGGAAATCAAATGCATAAAATAAATACATAAAACTGGAATTGCACTTGTTAAGAAGCATAGTAGAATGCAGGGTCCTCCCATTAAAGCCTCCTGCCCCAGCCCCCTAGAGGCAGATCACAAGAAACTTTAGTGAGATAGCTCTGGGAGATAGATTAAAAAAAAAAAAAAAAAAAAGACCCTTACTAGCTGGAGACCAGGATTTTTGAGCATGACTAGTCATGCTTGTCTCTTAGTTAGATGGACATAATTTCCAGCATATGCTTGCAACAGATCAACTAGAACAAAAATATAATTTAAATGCCACCAGATTCAAAGACTTACACAATGAACCCACAAATGATTTGCAGCTAGACTGACCAAAAAGACATTCTGAACCCCAAATATAGAATGATAATCATGGATTGATTTTCAAAGAAACTTGTCTGAGAACCTGCACATTTCTTCCCAGAAAAGTTCTATATATAATCAGAGAGCTCAGTCATGGGTGTGTCACTCATCTTCTCTAAGAGGTGAGGGGCACCTGCACCCTACCTTCAGGTGTGTACACTTTTGCTGCCCTTAAATAAATGTTTGCTGGTGCCTTGCTTCCAAAATGCCCTGAAATTCTCTTCTGCGATGAGCGTGAATAACTTACCACGCTGAGTTAAAGTCCATTTCTTCTCCTTGCCCCCCACCCCCAAATCAGTGATAATTCCATGAAAAAAAATATGTATCTACACACTGAAGAGAGAATCTGGGGGATCCTAACAAAACCATGATAATTTTTCCAACAATAGGGTATATCTTTCCTTCTATGAACTTATTTGTATCTTCCATTTTAAAAGAAAAATAGAAGTTTTGCTGTTATAATGAGGAAAAAAACATTTTCAATGCCAGCATACTGTGTGCCAAAGTCTTAAGGTGTGTGTGTTTGTGCATGTGTGAGCATGTGCATGTGCACCAATATATTCAGATATACTTTTTGGCCCATTCACCTATGGCCTTTGAACTTCAGTCTGGTGCTTCAAACTGCTCTGTGATGCAGGGACTGGGACTCTGCAAGCTACTTTCTTTGCCAGTTGTTGTTATACCAATACAGGCCACTAGAGGGAGGTTAAAGGCAGGAGGAGGAGAACTTACTTGTAACAGTGTTGCCCACCAAAAACCACTCTTCAGCCCAGGCAACTGCAGTTGGTTCCAGGCCTGGCTCCCTTTAGTTCTAAGAAATAGTTCTTACCTCTTAGAACTACTCTTAGAGGTCCTAACTATGCCTAGAAGGTGTTCTCAAAGATCTGAGTGCCAATTTTGTGATACCCTTCCTCTAAAAGTCTAAATTCTGCTAACCTCAAATTCTTTGCTTTGTTTCAGGGATTGTAGCTACTTTCACATATACCTCTGTGTTACCTCAGTGGTGTGGTTTTGTACTTCATTTACACCAATGTAATCAATTCTTATATTCCTTAAATTCTCTCCGGTGAAGTACATCGTATTTACTGTGTAATACTGAAGAACTCTGACTGATAACATTTTTTGGAAACAGAAGAGATGCCAGGAAACAGCCCCCCAATTTGGTATCTGAGATTGGTTTGGTAATATAAGGACTAAGGAGTTTTGAACACAAACAATCTCTTCATGAGGGGAAAATGGATATTAGAAATCCACAGTGTGCTGTGTCATTGTACCTAGTCACCCAAGATTGATTGTGATTGTGAGGGGACCAGATGATCTCACTGTAACAGTCATGCTTTTGAATGCACTGGAGACCCTTCAGAAAATAACATTCTTGGGTCTCTAACTCTTAGCTCAAATCACAGAGAATCAGAGAGCACTGATACTTATTCTTGAGGACACCTACCCTTATGACCTCATCACCTCCCCCAAAAGCTCCACCTCCTAATTGGTGATTAGAATGTCAACATATGAATTTTAGAGGACACAATGTTCAGGCCAGAACCTTTGGTAAATTTCTCTTGTGTATCTATTATATGCCAGATGCTCTGCTAGGCACTGGAAGGCAACAGATAGCAAGCACACACATGGTCCTTTTCCCTAAAAACAAACAAACAACAACAACAACAACCAAAAAAACTTATGTTGGCCATTAAGCAAAAGAATAAAAACTCTTGGGGCTAGGGATGTTATCAGTGGTAGAACATTTGCTTAGCATGCCCAAGGTCCTGACTTTGATCCTCACACTAAAATCAAAATAAAACAAAACCCTCAATGTAGCCATGGTGTGCTGCCTCACCTCGGAACCAGAGCAAAGGGGCCAGCTTTCTATGGACTGAGATCTCTGAAACTATAAAACCCATATAATTTTTTTCCTCCTCTAAGTTGTTTTATCAGGTATTTTGATAACAGTGATGAAAAGCTGACTAAAACAAGTGTTTATATGTGTATGGATATATTTATATATACATACATATGTGCGTTTGTATATATATATATGTGTGTGTGTATGTATATGTATGTATGTGTGTGTGTATATATATATACATATATATATATATATATGAATATGATAAAGCAATATATACATCACAAAGGTTTATAACCTGGACTGTGGAAAGAAGACTGGATTTGGATTCGAATCTGGGTTCCCATAATACTTGCCATGTGACTTCGAGCTAGGTGCTTAATCTCTTTGAACCTCAGTTTTTGACAGAAATATACTCCTAGGTCACCCAAGGGTCTGCAGTGGCTTTGTTCCAGCTCCGATCCCATCTGGTGGCTTTCCCTGTCCTCCAGCTTCACCCTCACTGCTGAAGAGGAAAGAGAGTGTGGAAGAGATACAACTGCTGCTTAACAGCACTGGTCTGAAAATGGCTTCCTCAGCGATTTGGCCACACTTAACTCAGAGACTGGAAGAAGTTGCCCAATGTGCACCCAAGAACAAGGAGAGCACAGACGAGATTTATAAGGAGTAAACTGGGTAGGAAAGTTTAAAAGTAGGAAGCTATTGTTAGAAAGGGAAGTGTCTGAATTTATGCGGTAGAGATGGAATGATCCTGATGAACCTTTTGGGCTCTCACTTGAGGGTACATGGCTGAAGTGAAGTGGATGTGAAGGTGACTGGAGATGAGAATAATGAAGTACCTGGAATGATAGAGGACTTGGGATGGAGAGGAACAAGTTTTCCAGGTGACATCACTGTGACCAAAATACCTGACAAATGTTCTACCACTGATCTAAATCCTAGATTCATAGGATATATAGTTCAGTGGTAGCTCATGTGCTTAACATGAATGAGGCCCTGGGTTCAATCCCCAGCACCAAGTAAATAAATAAAACCCTAACTCAGATGTCCCTGGTTTTCACTGATCTCTGAACCCCCATCTCACTTCCCTCTCGCCTCTCCCATGATGCTGCCTGGTCTGCCATGTTCTTGAGATATTTGGCTCAGTTCTACAAGCAGCTTCATGCAGGTGAGGGATGCCTCCCATAGTGCTGCCACAAGACCATTCAGCAAATACTCACTGAAAAAAATGATGAATGAATGAATGAACTCATAATAGAAAAGCCTTCTGATATGAACCAAGTACTAGCCTGGCATTGATAATTTCTTAATAAAAAATAAATAAAAAGAACCTCACAATAGCTCTAGAAATCACTGGAACACATTTGAAAGTGCATGGCTGAATACTGATGCATAATATGTTAATGTTCCTATAGACTAGTCTCAAAAATTTTCCTTGATTCTAAAATTCTAAAAGGCTTCTTTCATAGAGTATATTTTAATTAAAAACATGCCTCTACCTGGGTGTACTTTTTGAGAATTTTGTCAATTGTAGGCCTTAAAAATTAACATATTCTCTTTCAAAATGTAACTTGCATGCCAAGTCTTAAGGAGACAGACTCTCACTTTCTGCACTGAGAAATTCTCATAAAGTATAAGACTAACGTGTTCCATTTGCATTCCTGAAGTGAATTTTGATTTGCAATTTGATCTGAATGAATAAGTATCAATTGTAATTTGAAATGTGGAGTATATAAGGATACACCCATTTCCTGGGCCAAATGCTGATCCTCACTTTTCAGAAATGTTGAAAGATAACCCTACGGGAATCTTGGGATTATCCCAAGATACATGAAATAAGAGATGAAGAAAAGGAAGAGGTTGGGAAAGAGGAAGGAGAAATGAGCTGCCAGCAAACAGAGAAAGGTGAGATTGAAGCTTCAACTGCTAAGACAGACTCTCATAGCTCCATTCATTTAATTTATCTTTCATTTATAAATCTAGATTCACATTTTAGTAGACACGAATAGCTTGAAGCGAATTTATTCCCTGTGAGCCTTTGCACTGACACCTTAAGTTTTGCTTAAATCAGTTCTGTTATGGCTTGTTCAATACCCATTGTTTCCACCAGGGGGCAGCAGGAAGCTGTACACATACTACCCTTTAAATTGGTCACCGAAACCACCAAGATAATCCCAGCTTCACAAACCCAAACAGAATGGAGACAAATCGATTTATACTTGGCAGACGAGATTCAGATAATCAAAGAAATGTCTCCCAAGCAAAGTAGAAGCGCATGATTTCCAGGCTTGGCCCCTGAAGAGGAGGCGAGTCATGTGATTTGAAGGCCTAGTTTTGGATGGGGGTAGCATAACCTAAATTCATTCTCAAGGAGCAGAATCACCTGATCCTGGAAATGGCTAGGCTAAAAAGAAAAGAAAAAGAAAAAAGGAAAAAGCTGATAATCAGATAATTGGATGTATTTTCTCCACATTAAAGACTAAATGCCAAAAATTGGACTTGGAGAAAATGGAATCATTATTTCCTCCTCTTTTATAGCCTTGAGGCAAAATTTCCAAGTCAAATTTATAAGGTGTACAGGGATTTGGTTGCTTGTTTTGCTTTCTTCTCTCTTGCCAGTTACCTCCTGAGAGCTGGGCACGGATCAGTGAGGTCCCTCCATCAAGGCTGCCAGCAAGTCTGTGCCTGATTTGGTGAGTTTCTGAAAAGGTACAAGTGCTTCCTCCCACCAGGGCCTCTAATGGAACGTAACACCTTAGAACTGTGCCAAGGGAAAGAGCCAAGCCACGTTTCTGTGTCTGCTGCTAAAGCGAGGAACCATCTTTTCTGCCCAAAAAGCTGTTACTGGAATCTTTAAAGTGCTGGATTTAGAGTGCTGGTCAAGAAAGATAGTCTCTATACGCCCAACATTTCTAAGATATCCTTTATCTGTACAATTACACACACACACACACACACACACACACACACGCGCTAAGAAACAGAATTAGGAGAGTCATGTTCCTAGAAGCTTTCTCTTTAAACCAGTATCTATTGCTATCTATTCTCATAAAACATACCATGGGAGATGCTGGCATAGCAAGAATTTTACCTCAGTAGTACATAAGAAAACACGATCAAAGCAGTAGGCAGATATATTCAAATAGTGACAAGGAACTACAGTGTAATTAAGCCAGTATGTAGGGTCACATCTAAAATTTAAAATGAAGGATATTACCTCCAACAGAGGATTAATATTCAGAATATATAAAGAGCTCAAAATCTTAAGACTATAAAAACAAATAACCCAGTCATAAATTGGCAAAAGAACTAAACAGACACTTCTTAAAAGAAGAAATACAAATGGCCAACAAATATGTGAAAAACAATTCAAAATCCCTGGCAACCAGGGAAATACTAATCAAAACTAAACTGAGATTTCATCTTACTTGTTGGCAGGACTGCAAATTAATACAATCATTCTGGAAAGCAGTATGGATATTACTCAAAAGAATAGGAATATAAACATCATGTGACCCTGTTATCCCACTCCTTGGTATTTATCCAAAAGAACTGATCAGTATATCACAGTGATATGGGCACATCTATATTTATAGTAGCACAGTTCACAATAGCCCAGTTAGGGAACCAGCCCAGATGCCCCACCAACAGATGAATGGATTTTTTTAAATGTGGTATATATACACAATGGAGTTTTACTCAACCATGAAGGAGAATGAAATTATGGCATTTGCTGGTAAATGAATGGAACTGGAGAACATCACGCTAAGTGAAATAAGCCAGCCTCAGAAAGTTAAAGATTGAATGTTTTCTCTTATATGTGGAAGCTAGAGAAAAGTAAGGGGGAAAAATCAGGGAATACCATGAAAATAGGCAGAAGATCAGTACAGTACAGGAAGGAGTTGAGGGGAAGGGGGGGAGGGACAGGAAAGGGAGGAATTGTGGAATGAAAATGACAAAATTACACTATGTACATATCTGTCACAGTGAATTCCATCTTTATGTACATCTATAAAGCACCAACTTAGAAAAACAGTAAGTAATAGAAGGAAGACCTGTAAAGAAGAGGAAGGGGAATCAGGGAGGAGAAGAGGGGAGGGGAAGAGGGAGCACTGGGGGTTGAAATGGAGCAAATTATATTCCATGCATGTGTGATTATGTGAGAATGAACCCCACTATTATATATAACTATAATGCGTTAATGAAAACATTTTTTAAAATATTGAAATTAACTTTTAAAATTCCTCCCTATGGGCCAGGGATGTAACTCAGTGGTAAAGCATTTGCCTACCATGTATGAGGCCCTGAGCTCAATCTCTAGTATCGAAAAAAGAAAACCAAAACCCCCTATAAGCTTGCAGGCACTCTAAGAACAGGAATATTTAGTTCCTTGTTCAATTCCAGATGCTTTAAACATTCCAGATGCTCAGTTAATATTTGTTAAATGAAGAAAGCATTTTAAAAATGCACCACCACATCAGAGACCGACACACTGTCTCTTAGTGAATCCATTTTCAATGACATTTTTCTCCTTCCAGTTGTAAAACATATGATGGTCTCTTTAGAGAGATGGAGTTGATGGCTGGGCTGTAAGAGTCACGTTACTAGGTTATTTAGAAATAACCTTAGCTAGAGGGGCCAGATAGTTGTTCACCCTAGAGAAGGGCATGGGCACTGATACTAACCAAACACATGGAAAATTCCCATTTCATATGGTCTCTGGAATAGAGTTTCCAGATTTAGCAAATAAAACTACCGGGTGTTAAGTTAAATTTGAATTTCAGATCAATGAATTTATCATGGGACAAACTTATACTAAAAAAGAAAAATTATGTCTCTGATATTCAAAACCAGCTGGGCATCCTGTATTTTAACTGGCAACCCTACCATGGGGTATACAGTTTCTAAGTAGAAGGGTAAGAAGATTGCCCAACCTTTGAAATTGTGATCTCTCATTCTCCCTGGCCACAGGGGTTGTAGCCTTTAACTTCAGTGTCTGAATGCTATTGTAGGTTGATGATGACAGTGGATTCCACTGAATCCCATTAAATGAGCCATAAAAAATCTAGTATTTGGAAATGTTCCTCAAGCTCAAAGTTTTTGTTTTGTTTGCTTCTTGCTTTTCAAGAGTGTACATTACAAACAACTGCTATGTTTGCTTCAAAGGCTCACCTGGTGCCAATGTCAAGTCCTGATGCTTTGGATAGTCCTTGGTTCTCCCCTCCAGAGTGGGCTGGACCCAGGCTCCCAGGTGAGGGGGCAACCTCTGCATAGAACATCCTGCTTCCTGTCAACTGAGGCATTGGGCTTTTTGGTGATGGTCAGGGTTGGCTCCTTTCTCTCTGCTTTGAGTACATTCAGGCTAGCATGGGCAGGGAAACTCACAAGGGAGATGGCCAGTCCAGGGGCACTGGGTGGTCATGACTTCCCCTCCTATCTGGGACACAGATCCTTCAAATTGGGCTGGAGTCATGGTTTCCACATCCTGTGGTTGGCTAGCCTACCCACCATGATACCTTTCTGCTTGGGGATGTCCTGTGTGGGCCTCAGTAAGGATTTTCTAGGACATGGCATCTGGTTTCCCAGAGGAGGAAGCAGAAGTAGAGCAACTGGTGGTTTCCAGTCTTGAAGGTCTGGGATCAGGTGCTATCAATAGTGCTGGGGCCACCAGCTCCTAGCTCCTTGGAACTCTGGGCAAGAAGGTATTCTCATTTCCACCTCTCCTGTTCCTCCAAGGAGGGGAGGGATATTCTGGTTCACTTCTAGTTCAGGTGCCAAGCCCTAAGCTCAAAGTTCCGAGAGCCACAGTAAGTTGTGAGAACCACAAGTTAGAATCTTTGATCAAACAAAGGGTATGCCCCATGCTTAATATAATAATTTCTTAGCAGATATCTGTGTTTAGAAAATTGAAAATAGGCTTAGGATGCCTTGTGTTTCCTACATAACTTCCAGTCAATTATCAACCTCCTCATGATAGAGTGGATCTGATGCCCAATACTGGGGGTGGGTCAGGGCATCACAATGGAAAACTGAAAAAAAGAGGACAGGATTAAACAATGATGACACAAATTCAACCTTTCCAACATAAAAATGACTTAGAAAATGTGATCTCCAGACTTCCATTCACAAACATGCAGAGCCAGTCTTTCCTGAGAACCCATGCCTAGCTGTGACCTTACAACAGGCACAGGTCCATCATCACCCTGAGCTCAACCCTGTCCTTCCTGGATCTGCCTCGCCTGATGCCTCAGTAGACAGATATCCTAGTACTTTGCAGGAGTTGGGGTGGAGGAGTGGCAGAGGCAGTGGCCCCAGCACTATTGATAGACATTATACCAAGAACTCCAAGAAGAGAAGATTCTCATGACCTCCACAAGCCTTTGGGGAGGCTACCAGCTCCTCCTCTCTACGGCCCTACCTGGATAGTCTGAACCTCCAGGCCCCATCCTTCCCCCACCCCCCAAAAGGCTTCTGGAAGGCCCAGCACTCTGCACCCAGGCTACCAATAGCACTAGGAACCAGCCAGGACACACAGATGCCTTTCCACTAGAAGATCCACAATCAAAAGACCTCAACACTTAAATCCTAAGAATCTTGTAAAGAAAATGTTCTTTTGTTACTTGTAAGCATTATCACTTTTTATTGAATTATGCTATGAATGAGTACCCTTGAATCAAATGAGACCAATTAAGTTAATGAAAATAAAATGTTTACCTTTCTAGAAACTTCCATCATATTGATAGACCCTTCAGACCTTTTGCAAAACAACACCAAACCATCCTTCAGGTGGATAACTCAAGCGCTATTTCTTCCTAGAACTATCATGCTTTACTTTAAGGTTTCTGAACCTTGGCACTTATTGGCATTTGGGATGGTAGAATTTTTTTTTCTAACAGGCTGTCCTGTGTATTACAGGATAGTTAGCAGCAACTGTGACCTCTGCACACTAAATACTAGTAGCATATACCCTCGCCCTCTAAGGTGGTAACAATCTTAAAATGGCTAGAGACATTACCATGTGTCCCATGGGGAGCAAAATTGCCCCATAAAGAGCCACCAGGGGAAAAATCCATCCCCTACCCAGAACCACTACTCTGACTCATAAGACAGCTTCCCTTCTATGAACGCACTTTCCTCTGTCCTCCTCCAACACACACACACATGTACACACATACACACACACCTGTCTTCCTGTTCCCTTTACCCGAAACACTTTGCTTTTCCCCCTTTCCACTGAGAAACTCATGCTTATTCTTTAAGGCGTAAATCCAGTGCTGCTCTTTATAGCTGGCAGTCTGTGCCAGCTCAATTTCCTTTCCCTAGTCCCACCGCCATAGGCACCACATACTGCTTTACTTGTCCTAAGTAAAGTGTTCACCATATGATGTTGCCGTGACTTGTTCCCCCTTTCCCCTTCTTCCAAGAGGCCATGAGTTCCTTAAGAGCAAGCTCTGTGTACCCCTACTGCCCAGTGTGGTTTCTGTGTGTGCGTGTGTGTCCCGACAAATATACACAGCACTCTACTCAAGTAAATGTTTTTGTTGAGGCATAAGCCAAAGTTGTAAGCTATGTCATTTACTATATTTTCTAAAAGAATACAGTGATTTTAGAATTTATCAAGAAAACTGATTTTAGTTTGTCTAGGATTCCCACCACCCCGGGCCTCTACTAGATACTGGGTAAGAACAAGTTAATTTGAATAGAGACAGTGGAGGTTTTCTTAAAAATACTCTGTTAATATCAGAGACAAATGTGGGTGAATACAGAAAGGCAATGGGTTGTGACACCGTCCGAGTGAAGCTTTACCACATGAATTCATGTGGGCTGGGAATGAATGAAAATCAGGATCAGGCAACCCCGGGACAGGCAAGGAGAAGCCATTGCTTTCCTAACAAAAGGTGGCAGGAACATGTCAGAGTGACCCAGGATTGGAAGTGGAAGAAGGGAAGGGGAGTAAGTAGTAAATAATAGAAGTAATAAATAATATCATCAAATCTTTAGTTTGGATGCTGGGATGCTGATTGACCACTCACCAAAATGTAAATATTAGGGAATGAAGGGATTGAACTCAGCATTTGGGATACCAGTGGGCTAAAGGTCACAGACATGGCTGGAAATGGGAGTGTGAGGCTCCAGAGGAGCTGAGGCACCCAGGGACCAGCTTTGGGAGTCTATTACTGAGACCAAGGGACAGTATAAGATGACTGAGGAAGGGCAGATGGGATCTGTGATAAGAGAAGAGGGGCTGGCGAGGACAGCAAGCAGGAGCAAGAAGGAAGCCAGGAGCCACATGCTGTGGAAGCCAGGAACGAATGACAGTTCAAGATTGTGACATTTCAAGGATTTCAGTGGGGCAGAAGTTGGTGTGAATGAGAGCTGCGGATGGGCCAGGGGTTTGTTGATCAGGGGGTCTGTTGACTTGGGGGAAGTAAGACTAGGGGGGAGGAGGAGCTGAAAGCCAAACTGTGAGAAGCAGAGGACCATGGAGACTGTGACGGTGGAGCTAGAAGAAACCAACCCCTCAATGCACAAGTTAGTAGGAGGAAGGCAGGCAGCCCTGCAATAGCTCAGGGGGATAGCAGGGTTCAGAAAGGTTCTGTTTGTTTTTAGGTTGTGCAAGACTGGAACTTGTTTGTTGACAGAGCAAAAGGAATAGAGAAATAGAAGATTCTGAAGCTTTAAGACAGACAACTTAATAAGCAAAGTCTTGCAAGGAAATGGGATGGGATCTGGCTCCTTGAGGAAGGGCTGCCTTTGAAAGGAGTAAGGGCATCTTCCCCTTAGAGAAAAGTAAAGAAGGGGTTAGGAGTAATGAGTCACATCACCAGAACAAAGAGGAGAGTGGAGGAACCTCACTGCTAGACATTCCCACCCTGCTCGAGCAAGACGGTAGACTGTGCATAGAGGCCTGCAGAGTTTGTGAAATCTGAGTTCCACACTGATGATCCTACAACAGGTATTCCAGGGAATTGACCAGAAATGATTTAAAAGACTGCAAGGCCAGAAGAGTTTCCACAATTCCCTTCAGGTGGACATAGCTTTTCCTGAAAAACTCCTACTCACTCTTCAACATCCAACTTCAGTGTTCCCTTCTCTGACACATCCAGATGGAAACTGGGAGTCATTTTATCTCCTCGCCTCCAAGATTTTTATAAAAATATTTACCATGTTGTGTTTGAAATTCTGTTCACTGAGTTATTCTCCTGAGCTTCTCAAAGTTTCTAATTCGTCTCTGGATTCCAGCACCTGGGGCCATGACTCACACACTTTAGGTACTCAAATCATGATGAGTGAGCGAACAAAGGAGTGAACTGACATTTCCCCTGCTGGTGGAAGCTCACTTCTGCTGATAGCACCATTAACTAGAGCAGAGAGTCCTGAGGAGAGGCTGCGCTGCTTCTCTGGCTGCACAAGATCTGAGAAAAACCACACATGTGGATATAAAAGCACATGAGAACAATCATGGCCATGAAATGAATGTGAAATGCAAATGGTTTTCTCAAGACCCATATGCTATCCTGACCAGCAGAAGAAAAGAGCAGGAGGTCTGACCAGGGATGGGGGAAAAAAAAAAAAGGCCCAAGGCCCAAGAGATCATTTTCAGCTGGGAACAGAATGACTTCCTAAATATTGGGAGGGTGTGCCCCAGAGAGCTGAGCACTACAGATGCGCTCACTGAAAGAAAACAACCCTCATTTTTTTTTTTACATAAATTCTGTTTTGAATCAGACTGTCTCTCTAGCATAACCTTGCTGCTGAAAGTCACAGCTCCATGAAATCCTGTTTCAGATGGAATTTGGTGAACTTAATGTGAATTCATGGTACCCAGCAACACCAGTGATGCTTGTACTGAGCCCTACCATAGGTCCTGTGTCTATCTCATGATCTCTCTGCTAGTTGGGGTGATTGCCTTTGTCTTAGACATGGGGAAAATGAGGCAAGAAGCAGAGAAGTTAGACCCCAGTCTGCAGCGCCAAGATTAAAGACAGAGTCTTTCTAGCTGCAAAGCCCTGCTCTTCCTACTCTATTGTGTGAATGCTCCAGCAAGTACCATCACAGAAGGGTAGTTGTGGGGACACACAGAATCAACTCCAGCTTCAAGGACATGCACACAATAGTAGTAGTCAGCATGTTGGAGCTGGCAGGGCTTTAAGGGGTCACCCACTTCACCCCTGTGCATCTTAGAGATGAGGAAACTGAGTCACCAAGAAAGCTCACTGCCTTTGGTCACATTGCTTACTAGTGGCAAAGCAACAATAAAATCCAGGATCCCAGGGTCCTTCCTGTGTCTTCTCACCCTGAGTCCTTGAAAGCCTCCCCCATTGGACAGGAGCTTATCTCTAGCCAAAATATCATCTGTGGCTGAGCCAGGTCAACTCACTTCCTGGGCAAATAGCCCTGCATTTTTCATAAAACCAAATGCACATAAACCTGAATGTGATTCCAGCAAAACTACAATGTCTACTTGGTGGTAAAAGAAATCTTTAACTGAGCATCTCACCAAATACCTCTCTCTGCTGCCCAAACCTCCCCAGCATGTATTTCTTATGCTGAGGAAGCTGTTTAGCTAGGATCAGGTGGGGGTCATTGCCAGCGCAGCCAGGGGGACATCGGGCTCAAGGTTAAGGCCAGGAGCCTACTAAAGCCAACCCAGATGGGAGGGAATGTGGTACCCAAATCCCAGATATTCTATGTTTACTAAACTGAAACTCTGTCAAGCCCCTTCAGGGAGGCCTCTTAGGACCACTGTTGGGTGGTTAAAATGAGTAACCAAGCCTTTAGAAGGGCTGTGCTCAGGTACTCCATGCCCCTGTGTTTAGAAGTTACAATAATAACACATATTGCTCTGGTGTATCTACCTCAGACACCCTCAGTGGGTGATTCTGTCCAGTGGAGAGCAGGGGCTAAGATATGTTGGATTGTTTTGAAGACTCTGTGTGTCCACCACAGCAAGAAGTGGCATGGACAGGTTACCGAGGAGACTTGGTTATACCTTAAAAGAGCTTCTCTAGGTTTCCTGGGATTATAGGAGCAGTATGGACAGTTTCCACCCTCAGCAGGAAGGGACAGACATCTTATGGATATCTTTGAAATAGTTTTCTAACACCAGGAAACTTCAAGAAGTTTATCCCCTTTACCCCATTCTTCCATTATTGACTATTAGTTTTTAGAGAAACACACACACACACACACACACACACACACACACACAATTTCTCACAATCTGGAGTCTGAGAAATCCAGGATTGAGGTACCAGCAGATCCAATGTCTGGTGAGGACTTGCTTCCTGGTTAGCAGATGGGCATCTTCTTGTAGCATCCTCACATGACAGAGAACAGAAGGGAGGGGAAAAGGAAGGCAGGGAGAGGGAAAGAAAAAGAGAGGAAGAAAGCTATTGAGTATCTTCACATGAGGGCACTAATCTCATTCAAAAGGGCTCCAGCCTCATAACCCAGTAACTTCCCAAAGATCCACCTCCTAATGTTACATGGGAGTTAACATTTCAACTTATGAATTTGGGGCAGGGGACAAAAAAACTTCATTCCATAACTGAAGGGAGAATAACAGAAGCAAGAGTTGCCAAGAAAAAAAAAAAACATGATTTTGCTTCAGGCTGGCCCTTCTCTTGTGCCCTTTTGGAGTGTGTATTAGTCACCGTTCCCTAATCATAACTTGCCATCAGCCTCCTTTGATTCCTGAAGTCCATGAAGAATGCAAGTGCTGATAATTTATTGAAGAATTTCCTCCACTTTTAGAGATCTTGTGATTTTCCACCTTGGAGAAAGGGCTTCCTTAGGGATGGAGTGCAATCAGTGGACACACTGTCTTGTCCTGAGCTCATCTCTCCAGTGCCTCAGCCTTGACCTATGATGTCTGTTTTGGCTGTTCTAGCCTTGGACCCCTACTCAGTGACCTCATTGCTGCCTTTATTGGTCTTTGCCATATGGCCTGTAGGAATTATAAACCCAGAACTAAACTCCACAGGCCAGAACTGCCAAGGTAAAGCAGTATTAATCCACCTGAGCCAAAGTTATTGCATTTCCTCCAGCTCCACACGAATGAAGAAATTTGTCAAATATTTATTCTGGAAGAGAAACCAAAATCAAGTTAATGGGAAAGGAGAGTGAATGATTGAATTCTGTTATTGTCTTTCCTGGCTCTCTATGTTGCTGGTGAAAGCCATAAAACCTTATTTGTGCTACTCATTTTCATATTTTCTTGCTTACATTATAGCTGAAAGAAAAGTCAGGGCTGGCTCCAGATGAAACATCTCTGCCTGGAAAAGGAACACTTTGTCCCAGAGCCACAACTGGCACAGCCCTGCAGAGCAAACTTACACAATGAAGTCAGGGTGCAAGTCAAACAAGGGAAGAAGTGGAAAGAGAAAAAGCCCAACAGATGTAGCCTCTTTAATTTAGTAAAGTTTGTGGATAGATCCACAGAAATTATCATGAGTACCTGGTTTGCTAGCAGTAGCAGGTTGGTCTCTGGATCTTCCCCCATCTGAGTTTCCACAGATTGCCATACATGGCATTTTGACAAGGAGTCTTTGAGTAAATCCAGTCTGACATGACCTACAAGAGGAGATCATACTGCTTAGAATTAGCTCTACCAGCACCTTCTCTTTCCTAAGATAGAAGAAGAGAAGCATAGATTTAATTTTGTCTTCATGCACATGTGTTCATGTGTTGAAAATAAAAGTATCAGGAGAGAAAGAGAACAGAAATAAACCAAATTCTGATGATCAGAGAATACCACAATAAATTGAAATAAATTGGGGCCTCAGGCCAAGACTGGGCTGGAAAATTATTACAATTACTTGAAGAAAGATTATGAAGGTAAGGAACAATGGTTCTGTCAATGAGCCAGAAGAAGCTCAATCAAGGGCTTCACTTTTGTGCCCACTGTGCTGACAAAAGGCCCTGATGAGAGAAGAATAAGGCCTAGTTCCTACCTACAGTCTCTGCCAGGCCCGTACTGTGCTCAGATTGGTTTGTGAGAGCAGATTATGAAGTATTCAGAAAATTCTCATGCAGGTTATTAAACTACTTCTTCCTGGAAATTGGACAGTTTTAAAAAGAATATGTAAGCCATGAAAATGGACAAATGTTACTAATCGGGACTTTGCTTTCAGACAGCTGGTTTATACCACATAAAGGGGCCCTCCCCCAAGATGGAAGATGATGGATTTAGAGAGAACATAATCCAGAAAAGGACAGTGTGACTGCTGGAGAGCAGGTCTCCAGGACATGGCAAAGCCATTTTGTGTCATGGAGAGACCCCTGTTGAAGGCAGAACTGGAGGAAAATGGAGGAAAGAAATGCCTGTGCCTTCTCCTAGCCAACCTTCAACACCATCCCTCGCCTGCCCATCCAGGGCATCCCATCTGCCTGTTCAGTTTCAAGGGAGAAGAAGAGAGGAACTCAAAGGAAAGAAGGGAAAAACAGAATAGCTACTAATATAGGATTCATTGTCTTTTAGGGATGACAGGGCTTGGAAGATTACTGAACACAACCCCTTACTTCCCAATAGGTAAAATGACAGTACAGCCAGGCCTGGGAACCTGGTCTCACCCATCACCCCGACTGTGAGTCAGATGCTGTGTTGGTTCCTAACCTTGTCATTTCCTGCTTCTACTTCTAATACAGCTTGCTCACAAGTAGGAGAAGGAGATGGAACTCAAAGAGAAGTTCATTAGCCCCTCCCTTGTAGCCAGCACACTAAATTGATATTGTCTTAGGAAGAATTAGGTTTATTATTTTCAACTATGAAGAACCTGCCAATTTAGAAAAGGGATGTGAGGTTGAAACTCTGATAATGAAGATGCTGTGTATGTACCAGCTGGCGTAATTCGGAAAAAAAAGTGTCATTTGTCCTAAATTGAGTTCCAAGTCGTAATTTCCAATCACAACCTGTACTCCCGAGGAGACTATCAAAAAATGAGCTGGTGATTTCAATTCCTTCCAGATGGAAAAATATTGATGTCATCCCTAAGCTTGCCTCTGAGAGAGTCGTTTTGTTCTGCCTCGCCTAACAGCGCAGCAGAGGTAGAGGTGTCAGAGTTGGAAGGAGTCCCTGAGACCAAACAGGCCCTTCTGGAGCTATTTCCTACCTGTCAGGCTTGCACCTCTCGCACTGAGGACAGGGAATGTGCACAGCTGCACTTTCTCAGGGAGTAGAAGATTTGGTTCTATGCTCAACGCCCAACCCCTGTCATCAGCATTAAATTCACATTATATTTTAAGAAGAGAGATTCTTATTAAGCCAGGCTAAATAAAGCCTTTGTGGAAGAACAACTCCCTGCAGGTCCCAGAGGGATGGATGGAATTTGGAGCTTGATGGCCCTGCCACCTCTCTGACGGCAAGGAGTATTCCAACAGAAACAGCAAAGGAGATTCATATCCACCTTGGACAGCATGAGCTTTCCCTAGCAAGAGGATTTCAGAGGTTTTCTTCAAAGTGTCATTTTGGAGGATTAATCTGGAGGAAGAAGAGTTATCTGAGATGAATTTTCAAAATCTCTCTTTGTGTCTAGTAATTAATTGTATAACTGAGATGACTTAAAGGGGCCCACTCATCATCCGTAGATATGTCCACCAAACAGATGGCAAACCCCACATAGTGGACCTAGAGAAAAGCAAAACAGAACACATTTTCCACATAGTAATGCCCTGACCACTGTGAGGACAGCAGCTCCATCTACATAAGATGGTTTGAGCATCACGTGATGCTTCCTAACAAATCTGTTGGGTTAGAGGTTGACCAGCCATCTCAGTTTTTTCCAAAACCATGAGGGTTCTTGTGAAGCAAGATTTTAGTTTGAAATCAGGATAGTCCTGGATGAAATGGGAAGAGTTGGTAATGCCATTGAACCCAAGGTCCCTCTGCATCCCAATTCATTGACTAGGAAATTGAAACTCTTTTAAGAATTTAAGAAACTTGCTCCAGACCACATATTTAATGGCAGGACTTGAGTTTATATTTTAATCTAACTTTAAAAACAGGACTTTCCTTTCAATGACCTATAATGAGATCGATGATAAATATATTGACAGAGAAAGGTGTCAAAATATTACATAGGTGTTTGCTTGTATTCTTCCACACTGGAAGATGATGTAAAAGAAAGCAGACTTAAAAACCAGGCTAGGATGAGAAAGATTTCCTGAATTTCTTTGGGAAGGAAGCAGAAAGAACTCAGACCATGGAGTATTTCTCACTTTTTAAAGATCACATGGCTCCTGATTATCAGGACTAGTTCTGAAGTAGGGAAAGCAGCCATTCCAGTTTTTTCAGTCCTCATTTATAGGACATGATGACCCTAGGTACATGTGTTGTCCTGATGAATAATTGAACGCTCCTCTCACCCCCCAAAAGCTCTGATTGGATAATAGAATCACCCATACTAAGAGGCTTGCTACCACATAGTGGAAGAAAGATATGAGACACTGGCAAGAAAAGAAAGCTTACTCTTTCTGGTGGCAATTATGAGAAGAGATAAATAAATAAAGGCAGGTAAAGGAAGGATCTGGGCAGTGGAGTACTGGAGTCTGCTTTGCTGGCTAGCAAGGTAAAATGCAAATCAGAGCTGCTCTAAGATCTCATCTCACTACAGTCAGAATGGCAGTTATCAACAATACAAGCAATAATAAATGTTGGAGGGGATGTGGAGAAAAAGGCACACTTATACATTGTTGGTGGGACTGCAGATTGGTACAACCACTCTGGAAGGCAGTGTGGAGATTCCTCAGAAAACTTGGAATGGAACCACCATTGGACTCAACTATCTCACTCCTTAGTCTATACCCAGATGACTTAAAATCAGCATACTATAGTGACACAGCCACATCAATGTTTAAGGCAGTTGAATTCATAATAACTAAACTGTAGAACCAAACTAGATGACCATCAACAGATGAATGGATAAAGAAACTGTGGTATATATACACAATGGAATGTTACTTCGCATTAAAAGAGAATAAAATTATGGCATTTGCAAGTAAGTGGATGCAGTTGGAGAATATCATGCTAAGCGAAGTAAGCCAATCCCAAAAAACTAAAAGCCAAATGTTTTCTCTGATTAGTGGATGCTGATCTAAGATACAGGGAGGGGTGCAGATTGAAAAAATGGAGGAACTTGCGATTGGGCAAAGAGGAGAGTGTGCGAGGGTAATGAGGGTAGGAAAAATGGTGGAATGAGATGGGTATGATTACACTGGGTACATGTGTGATTGCACGAATGATGTGTCTCTACATTGTGTACAACCAGAGAATTGAAATGTTGTGTTTCATTTGTGTACAATAAATTGAAATGCATTCTGCTGTCGTTCAACTAAGTAAAACAAATTTAAAATAAATAAATAAACTAAAATAAATAAATATTCTGAAAATTTCTAAGAAAATTGTTAAATCTTTAGTAGCTTGAAATGAGCCATGGTGGGAATATTTATGCCACAGAAATAGGCAAAAATTTTAAACCAGGATCTTTTGTTTCATAGGTCTAGGTGACCCACATGCTGCTGGCTGATGAGTACTCATTTGAGCGCTCAGTCCCTCTCTCTCTTTCACCTATGCGCGTGCGCACACACACACACGCGCGCGCGCACACACACACGCGCGCGCGCACACACACACACACACACACACACACACATCAAGGACTATGAGCTACAATGTCAAGTGCTTTAGAAGCACCTAATTAAGTCAGGTGAATTCCAAGAAAAGAGAGATTCATTCTGGCTTCTCATTCAGGGATCTGGAAAGACACTACCTGCTAGCCTGTTCTTAGATCAACATGGAATACTTATTTGAATGCAAACCTAGAAATACAGAATAATTAAGCAGAGAAAGGCATATAGATCTAGCTTCCTACATCACTTTCTGATGTCCATGGTTGTAGAACTTAAATCTATCTGGAGAATTTGCCAAAGAGGGTCTCAGGTGATACTTAGCAGAGAGGAACACCTGGATCAAGGTCAAATATAGAATAAGGTCTTAGCTCAAGTACAGAAAGGTCCAGAATTGCCTGGGATGTTACTATCCCCCAATGGAGCCAAAAAAGCCACTGGCTTTAGCCTCCAATGCCAACAAGGCCAGAGTGAACAGTGAACAAGGATATTGCTATGGGACTCAGAAGAATAGAGGGAATAAAATAGTAAGCATTTAACACATATTTTATTTCTCCAGTTTATGGCTATTTTTCTTTCCTGGCTATTGGTTCTGGTGACTTTGGCCCAGCATAAGACACAGACTCAGTACCCTTAAATGTACAGCTTTCTCAGTTTACGTGACTGCCCAGCATCTAATTCCTGTCAAAAATCCCTCATGTTATATCACTGATCTTTCTGCTTCTCTGATCAAACCCTAATTAACATAGAAATTGGTATTGGAAGCTATTTCAGAGAAGCTTAGGGATGAGTTCTTTGAACTGACTTGGATTTTCTGGAATTTAAACTCTTCTTCAAGTGGTGAAAGGGATACTAGTAGTCTATAGCCAGATGAGGCAAAATTTACTTTTATTTTTATCTACCACTTACAAACACATGTGATCAATTGTCAGTAAAAGTCAAGATTTCTTTGTGACAAAGCAACTGTCACTAGACAACATTCTAATAGAAATACAGACATTGAAGTTGGATGGATGATAGAGAATTTGGGAGAAAGAATGATGACTTAAGGGCTTTCAGGTTTCAGCTTACATTTCAGTAGGGACATATGAGTGGATTCTGAAAAGCTGGGCCCTTAAACCCCTACATTCTTCTGAACGTCTTTGCCAGAAGGAGGCTCCCTTCCCTTCCTATCTGAGGAAATTAATCTCCCCTTGCCTGATTCTTCATCACCTGCTGTGGCAGATCCCAGGGTCCTGAGCTTTGCAAAGGACTCCTGAGCTTTTTCAAGATCTACCCTTATATATTCTCATTGCTTCTAGACCTATGATCAGACTCAGATCTCAGCAGACCTACAGGTTAGCATAAAAAAGGGTGACCATGAGAAGGTGCAATATTTTCAAAAAGAATTACATACTTTTACCCATTTTTATTGACAGAAACTTGGAAAATGTATGGGAATGGATAGTAGGAGTAATGGATAGGGACAGAAATAGGTAATTTCTAATGCAATGGTTAGGGTATACTACACAGAAATGTCAGCTCGAGCAGCTAAGTGTGTTGGGATAGCTCTGACAGTGGTTGGTTCATTGAAATCTAGATGCAAGATGACCTATCCTAAATAAAAATGCCAGAACTTCCTTTGTACACTGTGCAACAACAGTTCTTAAGCTGTGGTTCACTGAGCTCTGGACTTATTATATATGTACATAAGTTTGAATTTAATTTCATAAAAATCCCAAAATATGAATTGCCATTTTTCACTGTGTTGATAGTTCAACTGATGGGGCAAAAGTAATAATGGGTAATGCTGCTAGGGTCTTAGAACCAAGGGTCTAGGCAGCAAATGCTATATTGTACAGGTGGTCACTGTAATCTACTCAATAAAAAGAAGAATGCAAGATTTGTTTAAGAACATTCTGATGGAGCAGTAAAAATATTAATATTTTGAATTTCAACACTTGAAGGTACATCTTTTTAATATTCTATGTAATGAAGTGGAAAGTAACTATAAAACACTTTTGTTGTGTAGGTATGTATAATGGTTGTCTTGAGAATTACCATCTTGCTGAAGTTGCCCAGACTGGCTTTGAACTTGCAATCCTTCTGCCTCAGCCACCCAAACTGCTGGGATTACCGGAATGCACCAAAACTTGAACTTCAGAGTGAAAATCAGTAATGGAAAACTTGTGTCTGCCCCTATAAGCTTTGAGCACTTTTTAATTTCTGATATTAAAAAAATATATGAATATTATCCTTGTACAATGTAATTTGTCAACATTTAGATCTGCATAACTCAGGTCATTTTTCAAATGATCAATGCATCAAGTTACAAAACCATAAAAATTTATTCAAAGTTCAAAATAGACCATTGGATTTTAACAAAAAAAAAAATCACTTGATGTCAGCCTGGACAACTTAGCAAGACCCATATCAAAATAAAAAATAAAATAAGAAGGGCTTGAAATGTAAGGCTTTAATCCCTAATATCGCAAAAAAAAATAATAACAGTAAAAATAAAAAAGAATAGATTACCATGAAAGATGGCTCCTCTCAACTATGTCTCTGAAAAGAGTTCAGAGGACATTCCTTTTCCCAAGTCTGTAAACAATATATTCATGAAGGGAGCCCCAGCATCCTTCACCTTTTCTGTTGCCTTCTAATGAGTTCCCCTGAATTCAGTGTGAATGGATCTAGGAGTTGCAGAGGCCAAGTGGCAGAATTAATCACCAAAAACAAGGTGAATCTATTCACTGTCATAGGCAATAGAGCAATAAACAGAAGATTCGGAACACAGAAGGCCTGGTGTCAGGTACTTAGTCTGAATATACAATGTACTCAAGTATCACTGAATTCATACATAATAGAGACTTGTGCCCCCTCAACCAATTTCTAAGCTCCAGTCAATTCACAGACCCAGAACTCCTTAAATACAGAGGGATTGAGTCTTCTTGAAGAAGTCCTCTTCACACAATGAAGAACATTTATGGTACATCATCTTTCCAGCCTTCCCTTTCTTATAAGAGGCTTATAGAAAATGAAAATTGTGTCATACATAATAAAAACATGTATTACATACTTACATATCCATCTGCCATCTTACCAGAGCCTGTTACACATAATTCACTATTCTGAGCATCAAATTATGAATACCAAAAAAATTATGAATACCATGGTTTCATGTAGTAATCCAGTTCCTGTGACAATTGGATAGGTCCAGAAGTTAATTAAGAATAAAGATCTGTCTCGAGGAATAACCAAAGCTGGGCACTGAGATGAGCTAAATGTTAATCCTCTATGTTCAGGGGAGCAGTTCAAGAAATCTATCTATTCTATGCCTACTTCCTGTCAGGCACTGTGCCAGGGTGCAGAAGAGAACAAGACCTCAAGAGAGCTCTCAGCCCAAATGAAAGCTCCTTTAAAGAGACAGGATGAGAAGGAGCCCTGGGAGCCTTCCCCTCCAGTCATTTTGTCCTTTACCTCGTCCAAATTGAATTGTGACCAAGCTTCTTTTCCAAGATTTTTTTTTCACTACTCTTGTTTTTCTTGGAGAAAACGTTTTTTGTCTCAGCAGCAGCAACTCTCTCGATGGTTGAGTACTTATGCTAATCAGTGACCTGGCACCCATTTACTGATTCTTTGGTCTGATTATTTATTATTTATATAGTGTGGTGAGTGCAGATGGCATTTTGCAAAGCGTGGAAGTCTAAGAATGAAACCCCAGCCTCGAGGCGTTGACTGTCTGATTTAAACATAAACAAAACCCTGAATAAACAGTGAGATATCCACTTGAGTTGATGTGGCTGGAAAGGAGGAAAAAAACTGGGAGACCAACAGAAGAAATGAGTTTTATGGAGGGATTTGAAGGAGAAAAAAAAAAGGAACATGAAAAATGTGGGTTATTTCAAGAGACATGCAAGAAACTTTACCAAACCAAAGGGTTAAAAAGGAAAAAAAGAACATGGGGGAGAAAGCCCAGGAAAAGAAAGAACTCAATGAGAATTTCTGCTTCAGTCTTTGGGTTGGGGAGTGGGGAGACAGAGACATTTGAATGAAGGAAACCTTCCTGATGATGGATGAAGGTGACAGGATCACAACCAGCATT